TGCTCAGTTCCGCCGCCACCGCCACCGCCACCTCCGTGAGTGCTCGCTCCGGCGATATTCTTTACGGCTATTTTCGCAAGAAATCCGTCGCGCCTTTTCGTTTTGCTCGGCCTGTGAGTTCTCCTCTTTTTATGGACGTGCTCTTTCGTGTCTTTGTTTCACGCTGTGCTAAACTTTTTAATGCTAGTGGAATTTCCAATGAGCAGGTCTATCGTACGTCGCTGCGTCCGAGTTTCGTTGCGGTTCGAGCCATGGCGGAGTCTCAGACTGCTCAGAGGAATCAGCCGCAATCCTCAGGCTCCTCTGGTTTACAATCTTTCTTTTGCTGCAATTTCAAATTCAGGGATCGATTTCAGTTACAGTTTGTGAATAGAGAATATTAAAATAATTTAGGAATATATGAATCAGGAAAAAAGCAAGCTTTGATATCTTTATCTGACAAAAGAGATTTGGCTTCTCTTGGCAACGGTCTGCAAGAATTGGGGTATATGTTCTTCACAACTCTCTTACAAGTTACAACTATACAAAATTTTAGTCTTGTTTCTATCTTATATGTGAATGATTCTTTTTTCATTGATATTTGTGTAGATACACTATTGTTTCTACTGGAGGAACTGCCTCTACGTTGGAGAATGCCGGAGTCTCTGTGACCAAAGTGGAGAAGCTTACTCATTTTCCAGAAATGGCAAGTTTTAATTTTCTCTTAAGTTCGCTGCTCTTGTTCAAGTTGTGTTCTTGTTGACAAACACAAGGCTGATGTCAAATTGAGTTGTGATTTTCTCTAAGATTATACCATTGTTTTGTTGAGTTTAGTATATTAAACTTAGCTCTGCCTCTGTTTTTTCTTCTCTTAAAGCTTGATGGCCGTGTGAAAACTTTGCATCCAAACATTCACGGTGGTATTCTTGCTAGAAGAGATGTGGAGCATCATATGGAAGCTCTTAATGAGCATGGGATTGGTGTGTTTTTGACATTTGATTTGCCCTCTATGTTCTAAGCTTGAGATTAAGTCATCTTCATCTATCGTGTCTCCTTCATGCTAAACTGTTTTTTTTGTATTCAATGACAGGTACATTTGATGTGGTGGTTGTCAATTTGTATCCGTTCTATGATAAAGTTACTGCTCCAGGTGGGATCAGTTTTGAGGATGGGATTGAGAACATCGACATTGGTGGTCCTGCTATGATTAGAGCAGCTGCTAAGGTAATACATATATATATGCATGTGAAACTGTTCTTTACATTCAGTTCAAGATTATAGATGTACTTTTTCTATTCTGTTCGACAGAACCACAAAGACGTTCTCATTGTTGTCGATTCAGAGGATTATCAAGCTGTTTTGGAGTATCTCAAAGGAGGACAGAGCGACCAACAATTCCGCAGAAAACTTGCGTGGAAGGCCTTTCAGCATGTTGCTGCATATGATTCTGCGGTTTCAGAATGGCTATGGAAGCAGACTGAAGGAAGTATGTGGTTGTTTTTATGTGATCTTCCTTACACTAGTTATTGCAATTGGCAACTTACATTGATTGCTATTCCTGTTTTTCTCAGAAGAGAAGTTCCCTCCCAGCTTTACAGTTCCGGTTGAACTTAAGAGCTCTCTTCGTTACGGTGAAAATCCTCATCAAAAAGCTGCATTTTATGTTGATAAGAGCCTTGCTGAAGTGAATGCCGGTGGTATCGCAACAGCGATTCAACACCATGGAAAGGTAATAAACTTTTACCCATCATAATTGTAAAAGAATGGACTTTTTCTAAATGGTCATAGTCTTAAAGTGCCATTTATATCCTTATCCCCGCTTTCAAGCCTAATTATGTTTGACTTTTCTATTTACTGTGAGCAGGAAATGTCATACAACAACTATCTTGATGCTGATGCTGCGTGGAACTGTGTGTCGGAATTTGAAAACCCAACATGTGTAGTCGTGAAGCATACAAATCCTTGTGGTGTGGCCTCTCGTGATGATATTCTGGAGGCTTACCGGCTAGCTGTAAAAGCTGACCCAGTTAGCGCCTTTGGTGGCATCGTAGCTTTCAATGTTGAAGTTGACGAGGTAATCAAAAATCAAACTACTGTTGTCCCATACATTATTCAATTGTTTAGTGATCTGTAACTGTCTCTAGGTTCTTGCGAGGGAAATCCGAGAGTTCAGGAGCCCAACAGATGGGGAAACTAGAATGTTTTATGAAATCGTGGTTGCTCCAAAGTATACTGCTAAAGGTCTTGAAGTCCTCAAAGGGAAATCGAAAACTTTGAGGATCCTTGAAGCTAAAAAGAATGAGCAAGGGAAACTATCGCTCAGACAGATTGGTGGCGGCTGGTTGGCTCAGGAGTCGGACGATTTAACTCCAAAAGACATCCGTTTCAATTGTGTATCAGACAAAACTCCGACTGAAAGCGAACTTGCGGATGCCAAATTTGCCTGGCTCTGCGTTAAGCATGTCAAGAGCAATGCCATTGTGATAGCAAAGGTTGGGATGTTTCTCTCTGATTCCTTTTTTTTTCTTTCTCTTTCTGTACTTGTATGCTGATTCTTCTGTTTGCTCATAGAACAATTGTATGCTGGGGATGGGAAGCGGACAGCCAAACCGAGTAGAGAGTCTGAGAATAGCTTTCAAGAAAGCTGGCGAGGAAGCCAAAGGAGCTGCCTTGGCCAGTGACGCATTCTTCCCATTCGGTATATTTTTCTCTCTAAAACCATTCCTTGTCTCTGAAATGACTCATTAATCAACAAATGTTCGTTGTTCTGAACTGGAAATTTGTTGTTGTGTGAATTGCAGCTTGGAAAGATGCCGTGGAAGAAGCGTGCGAGAAGGGAATAGGAGTGATAGCAGAACCTGGAGGCAGTATTAGAGACCAAGACGCCATTGATTGCTGTAAAAAGTATGGAGTCTCTCTGCTCTTCACCAACGTTAGACACTTCCGCCATTAAGGACACATCCCTCCAGTTTTGCTCTTATAACATCCAAGAGGTTCTGAAGAAGAAAACCCACCAAAGTCCAAACAAAACACAAAGAGTGGGAAATAAAAATGTTGTAACATTAATTTGAATTGCGTTCGACTTTTATGTATGATTAGAACCTGAGAGCTGTTCCTACTTATAAATTTGACACTTTTCACCCAAAAATCACATCTTTCTCAACACCCAGAAACTGATGAGATGTGTATATAAAATATTCATCAACTCAAATTAGAGCGAGAGAGATCAGAGATGGCGACAGGGAAAGTGGTGGTGGAGAAAGTTGGAGGAAGATCTACGGCTACGAGTTGCTTCTCTAAGTATCCTCTCAAGTTCTTACTTCCTAGCAAGGTCTCTCTCCCTCTCTCTCTATATGGAGAATCTATTCACAGTTTCGAATTTTCAGTCTTTAATTATTAAAATTCCGGCGATACTGAACTTTCAGGCAGCTCCTGCCGGAACTGACGTTGTCTGGATTTACAGTATCACCTACGGTGGCGGCATTGTCTCTGTATTTTCCCTCTTTTCTCTCTGTCTCTTTATTACTGAATTTGTCAGTCGATGCTTGAATCAATCTAGTTCTTGTTCAAATTATGTAGGGAGATTCGATTTTATGTGAATTCACTATAGGTGATGGATGCACTGCAGTGATTACAACACAGTCTTCTACTAAGGTTAAATCAATTTAGGGCTTTTTTCTCTCTTTGAATTGGACACTAATTTCATCTTATTTGGTTGACTTTCTGAGATTGGATCTTGTGAATTCACACAGGTATACAAAGCAATTGGATCAAAGTGTTCTGAACAAACATTGGAAGTAATGTTTCTTTCTCATTTCTGCTAGAATCATTTGGCTGACATATTTGAGCTTATGTTAGAACAATAGATTGTTATTGCCATAGAATAGGACACTTTTCTTGGATTCCTATTCCTGATTGATCTTTTGGTTTGTTGTGTGCAGTAGGCGAGAATCGGGAGTGAAGCTCTTTTGGTTGTGATACCAGATCCAGTGACTTGTTTCTCCACTGCCCGGTACTTTCAGAAACAGATTTTTAGATTGCTTTCAGACTCTAATCTGGTCCTTGTGGATTGGATCACAAGCGGCCGTCATGCAAATGGCGAAAAATGGGATTTTGAGTTTTATAAGAGCATCAACAATGTCTACCTGGAAGATGATCACCCTTTATTCCTTGACACAGTTAGTTCATACCCACTTTTGGATTTGTTGAGAATGATATACCTTAACCAAGTAAATCCCGCTTGCAGATCGTGTATGCAGTATTGATAGAACATTCATGAGCAATGTTAGACCTTCCTTTGGTAATGGTTAATTCATTGCAGGTACTACTAGAGAAGAGGAGCATCCAAACCATAGCCGAACGGATGCAAGACTATCACGCCATAGCAATGGTCATACTTTTCGGGTATACGATTACAAAACAACTAAAGCTTGTTTTCTAGTCGATATTACTCTCTATGACAATTTGTATCTTTGCTAAATATGTTTGAAAATGGATCAAGGGCAAAGCTGAAGGAAATCCAAAAGCAAGTCCAAGAAAATGTGAAAAATATGATGTCGGAACAATTACAGATCTTATGTTCTCGGAGACACAAGTCTGAGTCAAGCTCTAGTAATCGCTTCATGAAGCCAGAGTTTATAGCTTCCTGCAGCACTTTCGGCCCTGAGGTTAGTATCATTCTTTCTTTCCACTTTCCAAACAAGAAACCATATAGCTTTGCATAAAACTAGCCAATATTAATGGTGAAAATTTAAGAGACCGCATAAATGGCTAATCAAAGTTGGTATAAATTTTGCAGGGAAAGGGAGTTGTGATTAGAATAGCTTCGGATTCTACAGAGTCTGTCTACAATTTCTTGAAGCAACAATTGGCTGAGCTTGAACCACTTCTTGGTCAAGCTCCTTATGCTTGACTCTTATTTCTTCTTCTTTTTTGACTTTACCCAAACCAAGGTCACCACAATTTAAATGAATAAGGAAATAGGAAACAAAAGCTCAAAATTGTGAGTTGTCTTGTAGGAAACAAAAGATCAAAATATGATTTGTCTTGTGCTCAAACCAAAATGAGCTTGTTTTTCCTTGCATGAGTTCGATTCCCATATTTTCACTGATATCAAGAGTTTAAAATTCTAGGGTTCACTTTGTATTAAGGTATAAATATCAGGGGTCACTTTGTAAAATCAATGTTCTTCCTAGCATACAATGTTTTTTACAAACGCCATTGATGACCACGACAGACGCAAAAAGACTCTGTTTTTGACGAACGATATCAGATATCTCTGTGAAAGGACTCCTTGGTTGCTTCAACACTTGTCTTTCTCTTGTACAAACTTATAAGATCACTTTTACAATCTTATATAGCTGATGCAATCTCGCGCATTGTCGCGCCTGAGAAGTTACTACAGAAGATCATCGGTAATTCCCATCTCAGACAATGAACGATCCGTGCAACTACGTAATCTCGTACGTTCGATTTACTCTTCCAGCTCAAGACCCAGGAGGGAAGGATATAGCTCGAAACCACGTGTGCCACGACCCGAATGGCTGATTGGGAAGCTGTGCAAAGTAGGTAAACTTGCAGAAGCACGCAAACTGTTCGACGGATTGCCTGAGAGAGATGTGGTCACATGGACGGATGTGATTACTGGGTATATTAAGTTAGGGAATATGAGAGAAGCTAGGGAATTGTTTGATAGGGTTGATTCTAGGAAAAATGTTGTGACTTGGACAGCCATGGTTAGTGGGTACTTGAGATCTAAGCAGCTTTCTGTAGCTGAGACGCTTTTCCAGGAGATGCCTGAGAGAAATATAGTTTCTTGGAATACTATGATTGATGGGTATGCTCAGAGCGGGAGAATTGATAAGGCCCTGGAACTGTTTGATGAAATGCCTGAGAGAAACACTGTTTCTTGGAACACAATGATTAAAGCGCTGGTGCAGCGTGGGAGGATAGATGAGGCGATGAATCTATTCGAAAGAATGCCTATAAAGGATGTCATTTCATGGACAGCTATGGTCGATGGATTGGCAAAGAACGGTAAGGTAGATGAAGCGAGACGACTTTTCGATTGTATGCCTGAGAGAAATATCATTTCTTGGAATGCTATGATCACTGGTTATACATATAACAATAGGATAGACGAAGCTGACCAACTCTTTCAAGTGATGCCGGAGAGGGACTTTGCTTCATGGAATACGATGATCACAGGATTTATACGGAATAGGGAAATTAACAGGGCATGTGGTTTATTCGACCGGATGCCTCAAAAGAATGTTATTTCCTGGACCGCGATGATTACAGGATACGTCGAGAATAAAGAAAACGAAGAGGCGCTTAAAGTTTTCTCAAAGATGTTAAGGGATGGCTGTGTTAAGCCTAATGTAGGAACTTATGTGAGCATTTTAAGCGCCTGTAGTGACTTGGCTGGGCTTGTGGAAGGGCAGCAGATTCACCAGTTGATATCTAAGTCGGTCCACCAAGAGAACGAAGTTGTGACTTCAGCGCTTATTAACATGTACTCGAAATCCGGTGAACTGATTGCTGCTAGGAAGATGTTCGATAACGGACTGGTATGCCAACGGGATTTGATATCATGGAACAGTATGATTGCGGTTTATGCACACCACGGGCATGGGAAGGAAGCAATTGAAATGTATGATCAGATGCGTAAACACGGGTTCAAACCTAGTGAGGTGACCTATCTTAACTTGCTATTTGCTTGCAGCCACGCCGGACTGGTAGAGAAAGGAATGGAGTTTTTTAAGGAGCTTGTGAGAGACGAGTCACTTCCTCTGCGAGAAGAGCACTATACGTGTCTCGTGGATCTCTGCGGTCGTGCTGGTAGATTAAAAGATGTTTTAAATTTCATCAACTGTGATGACGCTAGGCTATCAAGATCGTTCTATGGAGCGATCTTATCCGCTTGTAATGTTCACAGTGAAGTGAGTATTGCTAAGGAGGTGGTGAAGAAGGTATTAGAAACAGGGTCGGATGATGCTGGGACTTATGTAATGATGTCTAATATATATGCGGCGAGCGGGAAAAGGGAAAAAGCTGCAGAGATGAGAATGAAAATGAAAGAGAAAGGGTTGAAGAAACAGCCGGGTTGCAGTTGGGTTAAGATCGGGAATCAGACGCATCTTTTTGTTGTTGGAGATAAGTCACATCCTCAGTTTGAAGCCTTGGATTCGATAGTATCCGATCTTCGCAACAAAATGAGAAAGAACAAGAACATGACCTCAGAAGCGGAAGAAGATGAGTTCTTGGTTCTTTGAATTCCTTCTGCATACCGGAGATGTATTCAGACTCCTTGGTAAAAGATCAGTGAACGGATTTATTCAAGCCATTTGGTGTTGGACTAAACAATTCATCTGCCCGAAGTATCATGACGATAAGGACATGATATGACACAGCTTGCAGGAGATTTTCTGTTTGTAGTTAGTTGGCTTAGAAAATGCAACTGATACGTCTTAGCCTTATAGATTACCTTTTTTGTATGATTCGATTTTTTTACCATATATACCAGATAGTACTGATTACTCATTCATTCCCTGTTCTTTGTTATATAAGAATGTTTGGTGGGTCAATTAATAATGCAATTCCTGCCAAATTCGAGATTACTCTTAACACAAATTTTGTATACCTTTTTAACTTCTGGATGTCTGGTAAATAATGAAGAGTAACACATCAAAATTTTGAAGACCTTCACTATTGTTGCAATAATGAAGAGAAACACATTGAAAAGAGACTACTATTGACCTCCTCCGCCAGTTACAGTTCATATATAGAGACCAAACACCAACAAAAAAGGAGAAACAAGCCAAAAGAAAAAGCAAAGAAGATGGCCAAATTACAACAATAAATAAGAAGCAAGAAAGATTAGAGGGAGATCTCACATGGTGCGTGAAAGGTTCTTCCCCGACAAATCGCTTCTAGATTTTCTCCAGCGTACGAGCACAACGGTGACACTTCCACACCTATTTAAGCTATGACTGTTAATAGCCGTTATTTTCCCCTCTTTAAGTTCGTCTTAAATTATGGTATTTTCAATCTAATTTGGTTTACTTGGTTTAGGGCCTCGGTTATTTTACCCACACCAAGGTTAAAGAAGTAAGAAATCAACTGAAAAGAAGAGTTGGATGGGGCTCTTTACCAGTCGCATATAAAGGAACGGAATGTGTTAGAAATCCACCAGCTGCTATGACCCAACGTGTGTGCAGCCGTAGAACCAACAGTCTCGCGCTTTCCGGCGTGTCGAAATTCGACCCGTTCGCGTTCTTCACCGGTGCAAACTCTTCCTCCCTCAACACCTGCAAAGACAAAAAAAAACCACAGTAGAAAATAAGATTTGCTAAAAGTTAACTAAAATCATGCAAATATCGGTTTTAATGTGTTTCATACAATATAACAAAAAAATACCTCAAAGAGTGCAGTCGAAGGAGCATAAGGAAAGCAATCGAATATGAACTGTTCTAGTTTCAGTCCCACTGTGTCCCCATTTATAGACGGGATCTTCTTCTCCGCCAAATGGTAACTGCAAGAGATTTGATATCAGTTATTGAATATGTCAAATTTTTCAGATTGGTAAAAGCATCTCACACGCTGTCTTTTTCCAGCCCATTCGCAACTTGGTTAAGGAAATCCAGAGTGAACATGTGTAAGCACACCTGAAAGGTAAACACCGTTTTCGACTTACATTATGAACTTAAACACATGCCACTTCCTATAAAAACACTCACTGTCTTTACAGAATTTTGAAATAACCAATCTAAGTTGCATATAAAATTGAACAATAGCAAGAGTACTGGAAAAATGATCTTAGTAAAACTTCAAAAGCATGTAAAAGGGAGGATTTTGTTTACGTTACTCCAGCAAAATTGAAGACGTCCTGTTTGTTGATTGGTTGCAGAAGCCATAGACTGGTCAAGCTCCGTGTACTCAACTACAGTCAAAGGCCCACCTTTTCCCCTCCTTACAAATACTCCAACTTTTTCCTGTGGATATGCCTGTTTTCATAACAAGCTTTTCGCTTAAAACTTAACTGTGATTTGGCCCAGGAGAAACTAACTGCAGTAAGGTGAAAACTGAATCTAGAACAGTTTATGGAACCATTTAATTAGAAAGGTATCTGAATTTACCTTGCGCACTACTTTTGCAGCTGAAGCTGCACCTTTGTCAATGAAGTATCCCAGAAAAGTAGGGTCAGCTACTCGAACCTGCCTTTCAGTATTCTAGTTTATTGTTCTAATGGTTGAGAAGAATTGAGGAAGTACTCGAATAAAGACTTGAAACTGAGAGAGCTAACCAGAACATTGTCAACACCATAGCAATCCACATACTTAATCCCCCTCGAAGCCATATCATCTAATAACCTTGAAGATTTTAGAGCTGAATAAACATATATAATGTTCTGGTCAGAATCAAAAAATGATGAAGGTATATTTCCGATGCCTAGAGAAGCAGCAATTAGAAGAGATACCTGCATAAACTCCCCCGTTTCCATCCGGAGCCTTGGCTAGCTAGTCACAAAGAATGAAACCCATAAGCCCAGTGTTTTCAGAGTAAAAGGTAACTATAAACCTCAAGAACCGGGCTAAGTTTATTTCATCTTGCTTTGAAGACACATACACTGAAAGGTGTCTCCATGATAAACTTGCCATCCTTTGAAATGCAAGGTAGAGTTCCTTGTAGAAAAAAGGTGACCTACAGAGCGCCGATGTATATTGGTCTAAACACATAAGAAAGAAAACAATAGACATGCAGGAAATAATACAGCTTAGAACCCTCTTACCTGATCTGGCTCAAGGCCAAAATACTTGTGACTCTCGAAGAATTTTTGAGTTGGTTCATGAGTAAATGGACTGGTCATTATATACCAGTGTATTGTAACTGGGCGAGTTGGACTTGCTGCAGGCAAAATGTCATGTGAAACAAGGTATTAAAAATGGCATTGTTGTACAAAAAAATAGAATGCAGAGTTGTGGATTTTACCCTCACTCATTGCCTGAGCAGCAAGCCTTTGGACACACAAGATCCTCTCAGCTTGAATCTGAAAAAGTGACTTCCCAGATGGCAGTCCGATATCTGAGACGATAAAACTATTATGGTAAGGTAACAAAAGATACAGGTAACAGTAAACTATCAGGCTATTGAATGCTGCATTCACTAAAACAAGAGAATCTGAATTGCTAAGGAAATTTGCAAGAACGTATAGAATATGTGCAGTAAAAACAGAACTGAAATGAGAACCACTCACTATAACACCCTTTTGGATCTGAACTTCCAAGTCTCGTTCCCTGCAATTATTTTTGTAACCAGATAATCTCATGAGTTTTATTTTCAGAGAATATACTAACAAACACTACAGTATGGATCAATATCTGATTTGAAAGTAGTTATTCCCATCTTAATATTGTTTAATTGACTAACTCTATCATACAGTTGCAGGTGATAATTCACTCCCAGACTCCCACACATATCCACAAAAAATATTCTCAAGGTATTAAATGCTGAAGTAAATGAAGACAAAGTGAAAAGGGAAAAGAAGATTACAAGATCCTATAAAGCATCTTTCAGGTCACGTGATAACCATTCTTTCTCATAATAAGGTGGTCACTATCTAGAAGAAAGCACCGACGAGTTAGATTTTTACAGTAGTCATGATTATTCATATTAAGCCTTTATGACCACACTTATCAAAATAAGAACTTTTCAGACTTAGCAATTACTTAAGTAACAGACATCTATAAATGCATTATTTGAGTTAGGTATCACGCATTATTCCAACATCATTTCAGCAATCACACCCCAATTCCAACCATAATCCGAGAATCATCAAACATTTTCTCAACACATCTTTAGCAGCTACACAGAACTAATCCAAGAAAAGGACTCAGAGCCAGATCAGTGTTCTGTTTCCAAAGCAACACAATACCCCAATAAAAGAAAAAACTGCATCAATAATTAAAGTACCTGTCCACCAGATAAAAGAACCACACCCAATTTCCCTTCGTAGATAGCTTTCAATCCCATTTTCCACCATTTTTCTCTGTCTTCCTTTGTTCTTTCCTCCACCGTTGACACACAATTCTCCGGCACCGGTTCTATTGCCGCCACTGGTAACCCTAATGAAGTGAAAAACAGAAGTCGATTAAATCTCCATGAACGATTACTTAAGTCGATAGACTCTATATGCATATCTAGAAGTAATTAGATAAACCTTGAGACTGAAGTGAGCATCTGATGATCCGATCTATCCTTGGAAGATCCAAATTCTGGAAGAAAACAACACATCTAACTTAAATAATCCAACCAAATGATAAATCTAGCCAACGATTCACATTATTTGCAGGATCTTCAGCTAATTTTCGCTGAATTTGAGAATGCAAAGTATATTTAAGATGAAGAAAAACGAAAATGAAACTCTGGAACTGTGTAAAATTCTCCGATTCACCTCGATATCTTGGAGGAGGAGATCTCGCTCTTCCGGTGAGAGTTCATCCCAGAGAGCGAAAACATCTTCCTGTCCATAATCCTTGAGCCTCTCCACCAAAGCCTGATGAGGTGACGCCGTCGGAGGCAGCATCGTCGTGACAGCCGAAGCTTCAATCTCTATCTCCGTCGTTGGCTCCTTCATCGTCGTCGTCTATCAAACGTAAATCTCACTCCAAAATAAATTTATTTGTTCGTTAGTTTTATAGCACCGAAAGAACGCGAGGGGAGAGACGAAGAAGAAGACAAAGAATCAAAATTAATCAACGTAATAGTATTCGTAAAGTACCATTATACCCTTCTTCCCGTCTCAATCTCTCCGACAATTTGTTGGCCTAACCTCCCTTGACTCCGTGGGTTTTAAGACTCCTTTGAAATTAAGTAGCTTTCCACATATCCTCTCAATATCTCATACACTAATTAAAAGTGATAAACAAAACCACAATTTTCTTTTCTTTTCTGATCAAATAATGGTTCTGTTGATTCCACTGTTTTTTTTACGCATTACTCCACTACATATGGCGCAAATTTGCCAACAAGAGTCCCAAAATAGGCCCAGTTTTAGCCGGTACAGAGCACTAGAGTCAACACATTTAATGTCAGGGGTGTCGAGTGTCGACTAAGGGCTTGACAAACTTGAAACTTAAGTCAAAATTTAGATTAAAGTTATGACTTGTCGATATTTTTTGAAGTTGTCACTTCAAACCATGCCTACGGACAAAAACAAATCTTCGGAAACTAAGCCCAGAAGAAATGGAGAAAACAAACAAAACAAAAGGGCAATTACGATCCTGAACAATGACGGCAACAAAGAATGAAACTGATTAAATAATATTATTAACGGATTCAGCGCATCCATTATTTGTAGATTGATTTCAAATTTTCAATGTATTTGATTGTTATATCTACCATTATATAAATTCAGAGGATTGTATTTTGCATACCGACCTTCAGATCCTCGGTTAAATCATATGAAGCATCTCATCATTATTTGGAGAAAACTACATAAGCCTGATTGTTGAAAAAGGAAGCAAGAAAATTTTAACCTTGATTTGATTGGACAGTCTCAAACTATCCTGCAACTATTCAACACGTTCATTACTAGAACAGATTGGGTCTTCACTTGTAGAGCTGTTCCATGAGATTCTTCAGCTTCGTGACATCTGCACCCACAACCTCGCCTTTCTTCGAGCCTCCTTTGAAGAAATGCAGTGTTGGCTGCATCATATATGTTCATGAGACATAAAAAAAATCCTCGTTTCAACACGAGTTATTCCTGCTGATTGTAAAATTTAGATTATGTTGGAAAGAGAGGGTGATGAAAGCTCACCACAGACGTGATATTCAACTTGCTGATAGTGTTCGAAATCCCACCCTACAGATATGCAAGAATCGATATCTTTTTTAATTAAGTTTTAAGCTAACATTCATGAGAACAGAGGATTGTGCAAAGAGCCGTAAAGAAGCTTGAATATTATTTGTATGGTTCAGCTATTTTACTCGCCAACTCTATCGCAAACAAAGAATATCTATAGCATTGAAACAGAGTGTGGCGACTGGCGAGTCAGAATCTATACAGATCACCAATTAATCGTCTCCTTTGGTTCAAGCTAAAAACACTGTAAAAGGTTCTAATCACAGAAACCCAACGGAAATAGACATATATGCATGGAGTTCAAAACCACAGTAAATTATAATACCTCATCAATGTCGACTTTATACGTAGTTACATCGGGATACTGTTTACTAAGCTCCACAATTACAGGAGAGATAAACCTGCCTGAAGTAAAAATGAAACACAAACTAATAAGGCCACTCACAAAGAAAATATCTATACAGAACAAAACTTACTTTCAGAAGAAATAACATACATGGTCCACACCAGGCGGCAGTGAAATAGAAGATCGACGGTAAGGATCCATCTACATAGGCATAGCAATAAGAGACAGCATCAGTAGCAAATCATATTAAGCACATTCACTTATTAGTGTGAAGTAAGAAAGTAAGTGTAATGGTTTACCTTGAGCTTTGCCCATTGCATTGATGAACTCTTCCTCTGATTTCACTATAACAACACCATTTTCACCTAACATCAAAATTGCAGGATTAGATTCATTTCTGGCAAAGAAACGTTAGAAACTCTTTTAAATGTGCAAAATGTAGTTTACTCGAAGTCTCGAACTGACGTGCACATCTAATAAATTTCCATTTTTAGTAATTTGTATCCCATCGAAAACGCTAGCACTATAAACTCAAGCTTATTTCTCTGATCAATCTCGTTTTCCAACCTAGATCATACTAGATGCAAATTCCAAATAATCACAGATATCTACGCAAATACACAGGAACCAGTAGAACCAATTGAGTAATTACCTCCAGCTTCAGAACCGAAGCTTCTCCGGCGAGGAAGCGAAGTGTTGGAGAAGTTAAAATGTATGGATGGACCAATGGTGGAGGCAGTAAACAACGAGTTTTTAGCGATCAGCGACGACATCGAGTTTGGGGCCAGAACAAGCGGTCGGACGGAAGTGGATAATCGCGACGATGGTGTCGAGGACCGGAGAGTGGAGAACCGGCGGTGAAGAATCTGACGGACGATCGACCAATTTCCCTTCATAGTCCCCGGTTAGTTGACGATCTCACTTTCGCTGAATTAGGGTTTTTCGAAATCCGATTGTATGATGTTTGGTATTTCAGGCGCTTCCCGTCGTCGGAGAAGGTAAAGAGAATTTGGGAAGTGCAATTTGCAAAATGGCCCTCGAAAAAAGCAATGACTTCTAAATCAGCCCCACAGAAAAGGATGTTATTAGCTTTTACCCATAAAACGACATCATCTACTATACTTAAGCACTTATGAATATGATGACCAAGATTTTGGATAATGTATTAATAATACTAATTAATATCCATTGTCCAATGAAATTAGTTTGGGTCATGTTATTTTGGGGTTTTGAAGTGACTCTAAATTTTTTTCTTTTTTTTTTTTGCCAAAACCCATTTTATTAAATTATCGGATGGAGGCTATTTTTTTTTTACGAGACAATCTGCATGGACATTGTTACAGCGCGGAATGAATATAAAACAAAGAAAATGAAAGCTTCAAGAGCTAAGTAATGATTGGGATTTTGTGTATTGAACACACCATGTTTCGTCAATGTTTAGATGAAACCCGCCCGAGTTAATTAAATTTTAAAAGTTCTCCTATATTATTATTTTAAGTTTGTAAGTCCACGATGATGAGTTGTGATCGTTATTTACGTAGGTTGATTAGTTTAATGGTATATGTGTTCTTGTTAGTTTTTTAACGATGTGCATGATAGATAGTTATAGTTGTCACGATGTCAAATTAATGTTTTTTTGTTTGGTAAGATAACCGAGAATTATTTGATTCCTACCACCATAAATTATTAGATTTCTGTATGGTCCGATATACTCGTTAAATGTGGATTCATATATGGTTCGAGATTATATGATATATGAATTATCCGAGGGTATCTTCCGATGCCTATTCTATATAGAGATGTCAATTTTGGTTAGTGATTATTGAGTAACTATGAGTAATAACACATTCACTCTTGGCTTCAAAAGCGAAGAGGATTACATACTTTATATCTCCTTAATTTTTCCTCTGATATAAAGAAGATTAAAAAATAGCTAACTTAAAATTTTAACTTGTGGTCGCTAAGATTCGAAGGAAAAAAAAAAGGAAAAATCCTAACTTGTGATGATTCTACATTAATAAATCTTACTCCTCCTGTTCCTAGAAGATTGATTTTCTAGAGATTTCACATTTCTTAAGAAATAATCATTGTTTAATTATTTACTTTTATTAAATATTTTTTAATAAACTATGAACCAATAGTAATCTGAAACAGTTAATCATTACGCCTTGAAATCTACGATTTACTAAAATCAATTAATTAAAAATAAAAAAAATTCTAGAAAATCAATCTTTGTGGAACAAACTCAAAACACTAAAACATCAAACTTCAAAGAACGGAGGGAGTACAATTTAAGGTGTATCAGTTATTAGTTTTTTTACTAAAAATAGAAATTTATTTCAGGAACTTTAATGATAAGATTTAAGTAAACCATTAACTTTTGTTAAGTCATTAATAAAAAGATTTAAAGTTGTAAAATAAGATATATCACCATTTAATTATTAAAAAAATTGTTAGGATTTTTTAATTAAAATCTCTTAAATACTATTCATTTCTAAGAGATTGTGACCACTAATTGTATAGTGAATGTTTTCACCTTAGAAGTGGTGTTCTTTCGTAGCTATAAAAGTACAGAAAGACACACTAGACTACTTCAAAGTCAAAGGTGTGAACAGATCAAATCAAATAAAACTCCCTTTTAACTAATAAACAATAAGCAAGTGCTACGATCCACAGTAACGCAACGTCTATTACACCTCCGTGGATTTCACAAACTAGACGTTGACTCTCTCTTTCCAAAATTCCACCTTATATTTTTCACACCAAAACCCTTTTCTCCTCCGCTTTCATACGATGACCTTCATATGGCGATCATCGACACAAACTCCAGCCGTTGGATCCCTCACAACCTTCTCTTCCTTCTCCTCTTGCTATTGCTCCAGTCAGTACCGTATGGATCCGGTCAGACCACACCGCCCGGAACTACACAAACGAAAGCCAACGATCCAATTGTTGTAGTGATAACGGTTATGTTTGTGGTGATCTTCTTCATGGTCTTCGGTTCCATCTTCTGTCGTCGAAGCAACGCGCGGTTTTACTCACGTTCTTCTGTTTTCCGATCCACCGACGCAGACGCGGAGTCCCGCGTGGTGAGGATCAGAAGGTCGACGGCGCGTGGGCTCGAGGCGGAGGCTATAGAATCTTTCCCGACGTTTCTTTACTCGGAGGTGAAGGCGGTGAGGATCGGTAAAGGTGGTGTGGAGTGTGCGGTTTGTCTCTGTGAATTCGAAGACGACGAAACGCTGCGTTTGATGCCTCCTTGTTGCCACGTGTTTCACGTCGATTGCGTTGACGTCTGGCTCTCAGAACACTCCACGTGTCCTCTCTGTAGAGCGGATCTTGTCCTCAGCCAACATGGTGACGACGACGACAGTACTGAAAGCTACTCGGGTACAGATCCGGGTACGATTTCGTCGGGTACGGATCCTGAGAGAGGAATGGTTTTGGAATCTTCGGACGCGCATTTGCTGGATGGAGTGACGTGGACCAATAGTAACATAACGCCTCGGTCAAAGTCAACGGGATTATCCAGCTGGCGTATAACCGGAATTTTGTTCCCGAGATCTCATTCGACCGGACATTCGTTGGTTCAACCGGCTGGAAATCTAGACCGGTTTACGTTGACCTTACCTGATGATGTACGACGGCAATTGATGAAGACATCGAGGACGATGGGACACGTGGCGTTATTACCTCAGGCGAGGAGTTCACGGAGCGGTTACAGAAGCGGTAGCGTCGGGAGCGAGAGAAGCGTTTTTACGTACGGACGGAAGAGTAATAATAACAATCGACGGCTGCATTCGCTGTCTTTTTCATTCTCTTTCCGGAGTGGTTCTGTGCGGTCTACTTTCTCCGGAGATGCGCCAAAGAATCTTCCGACATCTGTCGAAGCTGGTGAACGGTCTTTCGAACGGCTCCGACCAGATGATCGAGTGTAAATAATTGTTTTCTTTTTTACAATTTGTTATTGGGATCGGATTAAATGTTGTTATGCCTCTTATTTGCTTTTTGACTTTTGGAGCATGATCAACAAAAATGACAATTATTTTGTGTCAAAAAATTTCGTTTGAAGGTTTCAGAAAGAAAAATGTATGTGTGAGATTGTGAATCTTTTAAATTAAATGTAGCTGATGGGTTTACACATTTGATGAATGGAGTGGCCTTTTAATAACGTTTGTATCATCAGGATATATTAGGATATAATTACAGCGACTTTTTTGTTAGGCAGTAAAAGCTTCACTTCAAGAAATATCATCAGTTCGGTTGACTAGAACCATGGTAAATGAACTTGTACCAATAAGAACTGAAATGGTACACCATTGTGGTGCATTTTGAAAGTAGAAAATTCTTTCATGGATTCAATTAATATTAAAAAAAATTTGGCATTTCACTGAATATTTTATGGAAACCATCAAACTGGTCAAACAAATACATTAGGTATTCTCATTATATATCTGTATATGAAGATTTTTTTCTTTCAAATTAAATTTGGTTATGGCAAGCTAATTATGTTTTTACATGTCAACTTAGTTGATATATTTAATGTAATTGATATAAAAAAGGGTCTAGCTATAAGATTTTTTTTTGATAATTTCCATGCTTCTTGTTTAAATTATAAGAACTGAAAGAGGATGATTACATTGCTAGTTTATCTAAACCAGAAAATAAACTTTCGTTCATGAAATCGTATGGTAAGCTTTTGAGATAAATATCCGATTGTTGTTGCTTCAGTCCGTAGCGTACGAATCAAGCGAGGCGATGGCGCAGCCTGGAACCGAGACAAAAGCAAGCGACCTAGCCATCCTAGTAATCACTCTTATACTCTTCGCGATCTTCGTCGTTGGATTGGCTTCGGTTTGCTTTCGCTGGACCTCTCGCCAATTTTACTCACAAGAATCCACCAACCCGTTCACTGACTCCGACGTTGAATCCCGTACGAGTATTACGGCGGCGCGTGGGCTCGACGAGGCTATCATCAACTCATTCCCGACGTTTCTCTACTCGGAGGTGAAGGAGCGTAGGATCGGGATAGGTGGAGTCGAGTGTGCGGTGTGTATCTGTGAGTTCGAAGACCATGAAACGCTGCGTTTGATGCCTGAGTGTTGCCACGTGTTTCACGTTGATTGTGTAAGTGTCTGGCTCTCTGATCACTCCACGTGTCCGCTCTGTCGTGTGGATCTTTTCTTGCAACCGGGTGAGAGGAGCTACTTGAATCCGGATCCGGATCCTGTAGAATCTACAAACTCGCATCTGTTTGATGGTGTGACGTGGACCAATAGGAACAGACCGTCTCGGTCATGGTCAACGAGATTGTCTCAATGTCGAGTCTCCCAGATATTAATCTCAAGATCGCACTCGACCGGGCATTCTGTGGTTCAACCTTTAGATAATTTAGACCGGTTTACGCTTCGGTTACCAGAAGAAGTCCAGAGGCAACTGACAAAGAAGACGGTGGACCATGCGGCATTACCTCATGCAAGGAGCTCGCGGCGCGGTTACAGAAGCAGAAGTGCCGGAAGCAGAAGCGATTGGAGTGTCTTCTCATACCAACAGAATAACTATAACAATAATCGGCGGATACATTCCTTCTCTGATTGTGCATGGTCCACCTCCTGTGGCGGAGAAGCGGTGGCTCAGCCGAAGGATCATTCGAGATCGATCGATTCCCGCCGAATATCATTTGAACGATTCCAGCCAGATGATCAAGTGTAGATAGGCAATTTTTTTGGCGTCTGTTTTTTTGTCATCAACATCTGTTTTGTTATCATTTGCCTTTCGAACATGACAATTTTCAAGACCAAAAAAAGAGCATAATAGATTAAATTAATGTCAGAAGTGGGATTTGAACCCACGCCCTCTTACGAAGACCAGAACTTGAATCTGGCGCCTTAGACCACTCGGCCATCCTGACTTTGTCGATTTTCTAGCGACGACATATTTTATATAGCAAGATTATAATCTTCGTTTTAACACTACAAAAATCTTATCATAGATACACTACCAAGATCATAGGAAAGCAAGTCTAATGAATTCCAGTCAGATAAATATCCAAAGAGTAGTAATCAATCTGTAATGTCGAAACAAAGTTTGGCCTCATCCCAAGGACCATTGATCTCAAACTTGTACTCTTGCATCCTTATGAGCCAATAAGGGCACACAACATTGACAAGAAGCACAAGAAGAAGAAAGACAAGGAAGAAGAGTCTATGCAACGCATAAATAGAGTAAAGCGTCAAACCCATTAGACCAAAAGAGAAGAGAAGATGCAACCCAAAGTTGAATTTCTTGATGCAGTAAGTAACAAGAGGCGCAAAGAGAAAGACTTGGAGTGAGAAGAGCATCACAGCAAAAACATGGAGCCTAGAAGGAAGACGTGAAGCAACAAAGACTGATGCAACAATTGAAGCATTGACAGATATGCAGCTTGTCAAATTCGGAGTTTGGAGTGCTCCTGGAGCTCTAATGGTGGAGCCAGAGTAATCATGCAAGAAGAGATGAAGCAAGAGGAGTGAAACTGTGACTGCCCATATCGAATCTGAGCTGATAGATCGCGTTAGCGTCTGGTAAATCGGAGCTAAGATATAAAGCCCCGTGGTGAAGAAGGAGATGTTGAGGAGATAACGCAAGAGGAGACTCAAAGATAACATTTTTTCTTCGGTTAAGAGGAGAATTAAGAATCCTGATGCTAAGAGAGAGAGATCAAGAAGCAAAAGCGAGTTCTCGTCTAAAGATGATTCAAGAGTGTGAACCCAAACCAAGACAACAAGCGCAACGATGCAGAGGTATTGAGAGATAGAGACAGAGTCTTTCATCACCTTGAGCAAATCACGCCTCACTACGTTGGCGTTCATCACCATTTCTTCGAGGAACGATTCGTCGGTGTAGTTGTCGTCGTATCCGATTTGCATTCCTCCGTAGGCTACTTTCCTCCATTTGGGTCTCGGAATTGAGTCTCCGGCGAGATTTTTCTCCATTGGGAGGTTACAGATTCTTGGATCCAAAATTAGGGTTCTTACGTCACCAAGTTAGAGCGAGGAATGCGAAAGCACCGATTCGTCTAAGAGGAAGATCGAATCGAGAGGAAGAGAACGCGGGGCAGGAACTAAAGGAAGATCTGATGAATTTGTGATGCTATTTTTTGTAATAAGAAAAAGTAGAGAGACTAAAATATGAATAAGAGATTTAGTCAAGACTCAAACGCATACATGTGTAAACTCGATGGATGAGAAAATATCTCATCAAGTAACAGAAGACATCGGAAAAAAAAAAAAAAAAGAGATTATTGACGATGCAGCAAAAACAGAGTATCACTCTTAAAAGTAAATGATCAATCAAAATGTGAGGCCATAGAAGTTCCAGCTGAGAGCCATCGAACTCAGGTTTACCAATTCAGTCATCTTCTTCATCTTCATCATCTTCATCTTCCTCCTCAGATGCTTCTTTGAGCCACTGTATGAATGTCTCACATTGTTTCAGATATACTTTGTCAGCTTCATCTGCACCTGCTTTCTCTTCAGCCCATCTCAAGACTGCATCTTCTTGCAACACGTCTTTGTCATATAGAAGATGCAGAATTTGTGTAAACAAGGGGCCCAACTCTTTGGGAGATTCCTGACACATCTCTTCAAATTTCATAATCACTTCTATCTGTTCATCAATTTTCTTTACATAGAACCCAAGAAGCTCCTTCCATTTTGTAATGATACTCGCCGCGTTTTTATACAACTCACTAGCAGAGTTGTGTGGAGTATCAACTGCCAGTTTAATCATCGAGTAGAATGTTGCTCCAGCACAATCTGCAGATTCCATGTTGTATGACAACCGGAGCCCGTTAATCTCCAGAGTTACAAGGTCCACTTTGATATTCTCTTCAACAGCCCTTAAGACGGTACCTTCAACCTCTTTCTCAAAGTAATAATAGTCATCATTGGGATCATTCACATCAGTGTTTATACTATCGGCATCAGATTTCAACTCTCCAGAAGTCGGGACAACACTTTCATCATCTGTGTCATCATCGTCTATGGCCTGAGTAATCTCAAAAAGTTTATCCTTGGGGATTGGTGCAACAGAATGCTTCCACTCCTCATCATGAGCCCCTTCACATGCTTCCCATATATAACCTGCTCCATCAGGACCAAGCTCAGATGCTTTGGACTCCATTTGCAAATTTAGGCCTGACAAATGATCTGCAGTCCCGCTGCTACTATCAGCATATTCCAGCTCTTCATCACTGTCTTCTGTCGTTGGCTGTTGAAGTAGGGAAACCTTTGAGTATGCAGGCACAACAAAGTCCCGCCCAACTACAACATTGAAAGACAAAACAACACCAGGCTGCAGAACAGCTCCTGCTCTGATTTTCACCCCATCACACACAATAGCGTTCCTTATCTCACACCCATCTTCAATCGTAACATTATTCCATATGTATGAGCCTTCTATCACCACATTTGATCCAATAGAACATCCATTCCCAATAACCGAGTTCGAGATTTTATCCCCATTACCAATTTTCGTGCCGTATCCAATGACAGTAGAAGCTCCAACATCAGCAGATCGTGATTGAACTACATCAGAAGCCCGGTATATCCCTTGTCTCCCGAGCTTTAGAGGGCGATTTCCGCTGAAATTTATATCTGGTACATAAGGATATGTCCACCTCTGAATTATATCCTTGCTAACAGTGTCATAGCTGCGGAAATTATCAATCCTACCAGCATAGCTGGAGTGAATCTCATGAGTGAAAATTTTATAACCCATGATATCATCAACAAGCACACCTTTGACAAAATGACGACGCAGATGTTGATAATCAAAGTTATCCTCAAAGAGACTAAGCACCTCAGGAGAACATATGTCAATGTAGCAATCCTGCATATCATTGCATACTAAAACAGAAGGATTAGTATCCAACAATGACTTCTCTAAACAAACTGACCCACTTGGATGATCAACCTTATCTTCCTCGTAATGAAGAAGCTGCTTTGTCAAAGGATCTACAGCAATGAAGAGCTGATCCGTTCCTAATCTTGACTGATGCGTGAGTGGAGAAGATTTAGACTGCTTAATAACCATAGTCATGATAGCTTTCTCATCTTTCTTCTTCCTCTCTCTATGTTCTTTAATCAAATCAGCTAGTGGCATATTACTCACAGTATCTCCACTAACAAGAACGAAATCACCTTGAATCTGAGACGTCTCTGTCTGTTGCTCATACATGTAACGCAAAGCATCTCCAGCACTGATAGATTTATGCGACTCGATTGTTCTCACAAGCAAGTTTGGGTGCGAGTACCACTCGGACTTCTCCAGATATTCGATAACCTGCATCGAATGAGCACAACAGAAGACGAAAACCTCCTCTATTCCAGCAGATTCGAGCCATGCCAATGTATAATCAATCATCGGAACATTAACTATCGGCAATAGTACCTTTGGGCGTTCTAGGGTTACGGGACGAAATTTCGTGGCGAAGCTATCGGCAAGAAGAATTGCTTGCAATCGTTGACGACTCTGTTCCACCGCATCCTCTGAAACCCTAGCGCCGCCGCCTTTCTTCTGAGCACCCATATCTCCTCTCTCGCTGATCAAAATTCGATTTCACGAGAAAATCTAAAACCCTGAGTTCTCTAATATAATAAACTTAAGTTCAGTTTATGACGAATTGAGAAATGAGGATTGTGAAGGTCTAATTTGCAAATTTATCATTTTACAGCCCCCTAAGTGTAAAAAAGACTGAATTATGTATTTCATGGTTGAAGTTGAAGTACTACTACTAAACGAAACTATAAGAAGACGCCAATAGAGACAATGAGAGTTATGTAGGTGACGAAAGCTAATCTAACTAGTGGGGGAGGTTTATTGAGTGGACAGTACACAAGTTGAGGAAAGTTTCGTAATTGGAACAAAAGAGAAGCTGCAAAAATACAAAAAAACTGTCTGAAACTTCTACTAGTCAAAATTGGAAACAGGAGTAAATGTAGTCTCTATAGTTCTTCTTCTTTGACTAAGCTTTGATGCAAGAGAGAATGGATAATGAAGAGAGAGGATACTGGAGATGGAGCAAGAGTGATTTCTTTCCTGAGGAATCTTTCCAGAGCTTTGGAAGTTACAGAGCTGCTCTGTCTCAGACATGTTCCAGGTTCAAGAACAGGTTGGTTAGTAGGTCTGATGATGAGAACGAGCGGTTTGAGCTCAAGAAACAGAGTGAGCATGAGATGAAACGGTGTTTGACATGGTGGGATTTAGTCTGGTTCGGATTCGGGTCAGTGATTGGAGCTGGAATCTTTGTCTTGACAGGTCAAGAAGCTCATGAGCAAGCAGGACCGGCTATTGTCTTGTCTTATGTCGTTTCAGGTCTTTCTGCTATGCTCTCTGTCTTCTTCTACACGGAATTCGCTGTGGAAATCCCCGTGGCTGGTGGTTCCTTCGCCTATTTACGGATTGAGCTTGGGGATTTCGCGGCGTTCATCACTGCAGGGAATATACTTCTTGAGAGTATTGTTGGGACTGCAGCAGTTGCTAGAGCCTGGACTTCATATTTTGCAACTCTTCTGAATCGTAGCCCGAACGCTCTACGCATCAGAACAGATCTCAGTTCTGGTTTTAATCTCTTGGATCCAATAGCTGTTGTGGTTATAGCCGCTTCAGCTACAATCGCATCGATCAGCACCCGAAAGACTTCATTGCTCAACTGGATAGCTTCTGCTATCAACACTTTAGTGATATTTTTTGTGATAATTGCGGGTTTTATCCACGCCGACACATCAAATTTGACTCCATTCTTGCCTTATGGACCTGAGGGAGTGTTCCGAGCAGCTGCAGTAGTGTACTTTGCATATGGAGGATTTGATAGCATAGCAACAATGGCTGAAGAAACCAAGAATCCATCAAGAGACATACCAATCGGGTTACTCGGTTCAATGTCGATAATAACGGTGATATACTGCTTGATGGCATTATCCTTGAGTATGATGCAGAAGTATACAGATATAGATCCAAACGCAGCTTACTCGGTAGCGTTTCAGAGTGTTGGAATGAAATGGGGAAAGTACCTGGTGGCACTTGGTGCTCTCAAAGGGATGACCACAGTTCTTTTAGTAGGAGCACTGGGACAAGCGCGATACGTCACTCACATTGCACGGACCCACATGATTCCGCCTATATTTGCCCTCGTCCATCCCAAAACAGGAACACCGATAAACGCTAATCTCCTAGTATCAATTCCAAGTGCTCTCATCGCTTTCTTTTCGGGTTTAGATGTTTTGACAAGCCTCTTATCGATAAGTACTCTCTTCATCTTCACAATGATGCCTATCGCACTACTTGTGAGGAGATACTACGTGAGACAAGTTACTCCAAGATTTCATCTCATTAAGCTCATCATTTGTCTCTTATTCGTTGTTGCTTCTTCGATGGGGACTTCGGCTTATTGGGGAATGCAGCTCAAGGGATCATGGATCGGATACACAATAACTGTTCCTTTCTGGTTCTTGGGAACGTTGGGGATTGTATTCTTTGTTCCTCAGCAAAGAACACCGAAGGTGTGGGGTGTACCATTAGTCCCATGGCTCCCGTGCTTATCAATCGCAATAAACATCTTTCTGATGGGATCTTTGGGAGCAATGGCTTTTGTAAGGTTTGGGGTTTGCACTTTAGCCATGTTACTATACTATTTCCTGCTTGGTCTTCATGCAACATTCGACATGGCTCATCAGCAAATTGTGCCAAGATCTTAATAACTATGAAAACAGTGAAGAAATGTAACCTCTCACAAGGTCTCTTCCTTCCACTCTAGTGTTATTCTGCTTTCTAGCTTTCTTCATCAACTGCATCGTTCTGGAATCTCTGTAATCTGCAAAAGTAAAGTCTTTCTCTTCTCTATACATAAAGAAAAGCTTTTCACAAGGACTCTTTATCCAAACATGAAATAGAGTAAAGTACATTGAATCCAAACTGTGCTGCAAAATTGTTCTCTCAGGCTCCATGAACCGATATAGATCACAATCTTTGAGTTCATTCTCGTCCTCTAGAGTTTAAAATCAACCACTTTTGGAATCCTCTGCAACCTAAACCCAAAGTTCACTCTTTTTATCCTTCTTTCCTCTCAATCAATCAAAATTATCACATGAGCAATACAAAGACTTACCAGGACGATGATGATGAACCCTAAAGAATGAACTTATCAACCTCATTGTTCAAAATCTGAAGCGAATTTTTAGCGTTAAGGGTCAGAAACCAGAATAAAAATAAATTAAAAAAAGCTGGAAAAAGATTTTAGCTTGAAGATCAGTCGAACAGAGATGGTACTTGCATCGATTTCTCCTGGTAATAGTTAAGAACTTAATCTGATAGCATCGATTTCTCCTGGTAATAGTTAACAATTTAATCTGGTAATTAATAACGTTCAAAGGCTTTCATAGCTCAGTTGTAAGGGTGTCAAAATGGGTAACCCGACCCGACCCAAACCCACATGGGTTCGAGTGTTTAATGGACGGGTTTGACCCGACCCATATATTTATATGGGTTGAATTTACATACCCAAACCCATTATTGTAGAAATTTGTTGGGGTTATATGGGTACCCATATATATGTATAATAAAATATATAAATAATAAAAATCCAAAAAAATAACATAAAATTGTAAACCAACAAAAGTTTTTAAATAATAAATTAAAAAATCTAGATATTAAAGTAGAAAAGCATCCTAAAATCTTAAAACCATAAATCCAAAGAACCATAAAACCAAATAAAAAATATAGTTGTAAAGAAAAGAAAATATTTTACATATATTTATATAAATTTTACATAATATATTAATATAGATATATATAAATTTTACTTTTTAGTTTTGGTTATGAAACTCATGAGTAACCCATGACCCTAATGGGTTATATCCATTAAACCCATAACCCTAATAGGATAACCCACTAAAACCCATATATATATATATATATATATATATATGGGTAACAAAATTCTAGCCAAACCCATAGGTATTAACCCATTTTGACACCAGTTGGTTAGAGCACCCGTTTAGTAAGCGGGAGGTCTTGAGTTTAACTCTCAATGAAAGCAGTAAGTATATTTTTTACCTTACGCAATTTTAGACTTTTTGCATAAAACTTTCAGAATATTAATTTAAATTAACGCCTCAAAATTTTGATTCTTTACAAAAAGATCCCCTATGTTACAAAGATTCAACAATCTTCATAAAAGACAAAGCAGAGTTTTTATTTACTTAAGAGTCTTGGTTAATGATTTGGCTATCGAGTGGTATGTACTGAGACATAATGGACACGATCTCTGAATCCATGTAAGACTGCATTTTTGATGTAAAGATAAAAATGGTAGTTAGAGTTTGATGAATGATGATGCATAGGATATATGTTATATAATTGGTAGCAAAGTGACATTACCTGAAGATGGTACTTGTAGAATATATAAGCACCTAAAGAGATACCCGCAATGGCGATTAGAACCACAATTGTGAACAACCATCTGCTTCTTGATCCACTTCTTCTCTCTGCACATGTTAACATTGAGATTTTCCTTCTAATATAATATCTAAAAAAAGTTTTACATCTTTTTCAACATACCAATACAAGTGTCTTCTTCTTTCATATAGACACTATTGTTGGAACATTTGCATTCATATCCTCCCCAATTGTTCTTGCATTTGCAGTCATCACATTGACAAGCTGATTTCTCTTTGCATTCATCGATGTCTAGTTATGAAGCAATAAAGACTGGTCAGAGACAATGTCAAGGAAACTCTGATTTTACTATGACTAATTGTCGAAATTTTTTTACCTTCACATTTCAGACCATCTCCACGGAAGCCTAGAGGACAACGACATCCTGATGTCTCTGAGTTCTACATCAAATGAATACAAAAAGTAAGAAAAAGGTCTCAAACTTCAGCAAAATGGAAGAAAAAGAAGCGGTCACTTAACTGAACAAGCAGAGAAAGTTAGACCCGTTCTGGTTTCAGACCAGCAGCCTCCATTGTTCGATGAACATCTAGCAGGTCCATAAGCTGTATCAAGAACAATAAAAAGAAATTTTTGAAGACCACTGAACAAAAATATGCAATGAGATATATTAAAAACAGAAGTTTAAAAAACATACGTTTGCAGGAGGTATAACCATCTCCTTTATATTGAACACCATTAAAAACCGGGCACTCACATACTCTTCCCCTAAATGTGTCCTAACAAAATTCATATAATCTATAACGAAGAGATGATATAGACTGATAAAATTATTGGTATAACGCTCCTTATCACCATATACCTTGCAAGCCGTTACATTAGATCTTTTGTCTTGCCAACATCCTCCATTTTCTATAAGACATTCATTGGTCTCTATATCTGTTTTAGAATGGATCAAAAAGAAATTAAGAGTATGTTCTTCAATTCGAAGAATACGACTATCTTTATCTAGGGAAGTGACTTGACCTGCATTCAAACATATTGAAGGTTCGGTTCTTTCCTTGAATCCTGAACATATAGCCTTCAGCACCGCAGTTCTCTCCAGTTTACCTGAGCATGTAACAGATTAAGATTCTAAAATCGTCTAACTTTGTGATGATCGGTGAGAAGGAAGAGCTTACCGCGATATTGAGCATTGTTGATCATCAATGTTGGAAAGATTGTAACAACCCCGCGATTCTCTTGGCCTAACTGTACTTCAAAATGTCATGAAAGAAAGAATAGCAGCTTGGTGGATTGTGAATTTGAAGAAACTGCGAACCTGAAAAGCTTGTTCGGCTTTTAGAACTTCATTCTCTACATCAGCATCAGGATCACCAATGCATTTCTTGATCTTCTCAAGAGACAACCCTGAGGAAAAACCCTGAAATTGTTAAAGAAAGAGTTGCTAGCAGATTGTGATATCTCTAGGAAAACAAAACGCCTTTTTACCGAGAGATTCCACGACAGTCTCTGCGCATTCTCTGCTGTATTTCTTCTCCTTCATAGAACACCTGATGTTAAAATCTGTCACATAATCCCACCAAACCCAAGAAGTGTTCTTCTCCTTAGCTACTCTATGAACACATAACTGTCTCAGATTCTCGTAAACGACGTCTTTACCATTATATCCATCTTCAAATTCTTGCTTAGGGTCAGGAGCACAATACCTCCCTTGGTTTAGACACTGAGTCTTACACTGCTTGCTAAGCAGCAGCTCTTTGGGACAAAACCAAGCAATGTAATGAGGTCTGAACAAAGTATAACCACCTTTTTCAAGAATCTGAGCCGTTCCCTTAAAGTTCTTTATGAAATCTAATTGCTTATGGCAGTGCACACCACATTTATCGTTAGTGTTAGCCCATAGCTCATACTCAACTCTCTCATCAGGGTTTGGTATAGACTCACTCCAATCAATCTTCAAGATTACTTCCTCGCCTCTTTTAAGAGCATTCTTGAGGCTATCACCGAAAGAGCGAAGGATCAAAGCCGATGGGACCTTGATTTTGTCTATAAAGTCAGGATCTTCATCTTGGGATTCCTCTGGTGAATCCATTGTTATCAATGGCTCAACAATGTTATCTGCTAAAAGAACAGCCGCTGCTCCGGATTGTTGCCCATTCCATATCTTCACAGCAAAGTTACACACTAAAAATAAAAACTGAATAGAGTCAGATTCACAGTAACTTCAAATCTTTTACCATCCAAACTAACAAAAAAAGTTTCGCACTTTCAATAAGATTCTTGGTGAAACAGTCAAAATTGCTTAAGTTCTTACTAAATAATCAAAGCAAAAGCCTCAAATGAATCGAATATTACCTCCACGATCAATGAGGAGGATGGTGGGATAAGGAGACTTGGGATTGAAGTTTTTGTTGAAAGAGTCGCATCCATAAGCGCCTTGGCCTGCGTAGACGACAGAGCCGATCATGAAACCACCGAAGTTTGGAATGCCAAAGTTTGCGATGGCTGCGTCGTGCTTAGCTCCCATTTTCCAAGAGTTAAGTACCGTCAAGCTACTCTTCTCCACGAAGAATCTCGGTGAAACACCGTTGACCACCACCATGGTCAACGCTAGTATCAGAGCCAAGACGGTTCCTTTATTGCTCGTAGACATTCTTCTCGAGAAAAGAAAACTGCAGAGTCTCTTCTTCTCGAGAAAATTGAGATGAACCTTAATGGATACGGAAGAGACGACGAGTTGGCAGAGTCAGCGGAGCTACCATGACTCTGCAACTACTGTTTCGAATGTTTTCTCATGATTATTGTTCTTGAACCAATAATTAACGAGGCAAATTTAAAATTATACAATTTGGTGCTTTTCTTAAAAGTCCATAGAGACACCCTTAATGAGCCTCATAAGCCCATTCATAGTCCCAATTTTTTAAAAAAAAATCCAATTGCTATTATAATAAAAATTGAAGGTCGGTGTAAAATAAAAAAAAGGAAAAAATTAGCGAGTGGTCGTCAAATTCAACCCCACCACACGAGCCATGTGATGAGTGAATGGTGCTCAAATATCTATTTGCACTTCTATGCGCACCAGCCAAAGTAACACGTTTCCACTTTCGTGTTTTATTTGATCTAAACCGTGTTCGTATTTGTTAAAGATATACACGTATGTTTATATACATATAATGCTGGTCTAATATGTCTGCGTTTGAACGTGTATATATATCTAAACGTCTGAGAAAAGAAAGAAACAAACATAGCTCAAGTATGGACCTTAAGTTCAAGCTCAGGCCACGCTTTTTCATCTCCTCTTTGTTTCTCTTCTTACTTCTCAAAAATCCTAATCTTGGATCTGCAGCTAATCCTAAATGCATATCCACCGAGCGACAAGCTCTTCTCACCTTCAGAGCATCACTAACTGATCTTTCGAGTAGACTCCTTTCTTGGTCTGGACCTGACTGCTGCAACTGGCCCGGTGTTCTTTGCGACGCTCGGACCAGCCGTGTCATCAAGATTGATCTCAGAAACCCGAATCAAGATGTTCGCTCCGATGAGTATAAAAGAGGTTCCTTGCGAGGGAAGTTACATCCGTCTTTGACTCAACTCAAGTTCTTGAGCTATCTGGACTTGAGTTCAAATGATTTCAATGGACTGGAGATCCCCGAGTTTATTGGCCAAATCGCTAGTCTAAGGTACCTCAATCTTTCTTCCTCATCGTTTTCTGGCGAGATTCCTGCGAGTCTTGGGAATTTGTCTAAGCTGGAGTCACTTGATCTGTACGCTGAGTCGTTTGGTGACTCTGGTACGTTTTCTTTGCACGCAAGCAACCTCCGGTGGCTTTCAGGTCTGTCTTCTTCTCTGAAGTATCTCAACATGGGGTATGTGAATCTGAGTGGTGCCGGTGAGACCTGGTTACAGGATTTCAGCAGAGTCAAGGTGCTAAAGGAGTTGCGTTTGTTCAATTGTGAGCTCAAGAACTTACCTCCCTCGTTGTCTTCGTCTGCGGATCTGAAGCTCCTTGAAGTTCTTGATTTGTCGGAAAACTCTCTCAATTCGCCGATACCCAACTGGCTATTTGGTCTCACCAACCTCAGAAAGCTATTCCTCAGATGGGATTTTCTCCAGGGTTCGATTCCTTCAGGGTTCAAGAACTTGAAGCTTCTAGAGACACTTGATCTGTCTAATAATCTGGAACTCCAGGGCGAAATTCCATCGGTTCTTGGAGATCTTCCTCGACTGAAGTTTCTTGACCTTTCTGCAAACGAACTCAATGGTCAAATCAATGGGTTTCTAGACGCCTTCTCCAGAAACAAAGGCAACAGCTTGGTCTTTCTCGATCTCAGTTCCAACAAGTTTGCTGGGACATTGCCTGAGTCGCTTGGAGCGTTGAGGAATCTGCAGATTCTGGATCTATCATCGAATTCCTTCACGGGTTCGGTCCCTTCCTCGATAGGAAACATGGTGTCACTGAATAAACTTGATCTTTCTTACAATGCTATGAACGGGACAATCGCGGAAAGCTTGGGGCAGCTTGCGGAGCTTGTGGATCTGAACTTGATGGAAAATGCATGGGGAGGTGTTCTGCAAAAGTCTCATTTCATGAATCTCAGAAGCTTGAAAAGCATCCGTCTCACAACTGAACCATACAGATCTCTTGTCTTCAAGTTACCATCTGCTTGGATTCCTCCTTTCAGACTGGAGTTGATCCAAATCGAGAACTGCCGGATCGGTCCTTCGTTTCCAATGTGGCTTCAAGTACAAACCAAGCTCAACTTTGTTACACTCAGAAACACAGGAATTGAAGATACAATACCCGATAGCTGGTTCGCAGGAATCTCTTCTGAAGTAACTTACCTGATTCTAGCAAACAACAGAATAAAAGGTAGATTACCTCAAAACCTTGCGTTCCCAAAGTTAAACACCATTGATTTGAGCTCCAACAACTTTGAAGGCCCTTTTCCTCTCTGGTCAACAAACGCAACAGAGCTGCGTCTTTATGAGAACAACTTCTCGGGTTCTCTTCCGCTTAATATTGATGTCTTGATGCCAAGAATGCAGAAAATCTACCTCTTTCGCAACAGCTTCACAGGCAACATCCCATCGTCTTTATGTGAAGTCTCCGGACTGCAAATTCTGTCTCTAAGGAAGAACCGTTTCTCTGGTAGTTTTCCAAAATGTTGGCACCGTCAGTTCATGCTTTGGGGAATTGACGTGTCTGAGAATAACTTATCAGGCGAAATACCGGAGTCTCTCGGTATGTTACCTTCTCTCAGCGTCTTGCTTCTGAACCAAAATGTGTTGGAAGGTAAAATCCCAGAGAGTCTTCAGAATTGCTCTGGCCTTACGAACATTGATCTCGGAGGAAACAAGCTGACTGGGAAGCTTCCTTCATGGGTAGGAAAGCTGTCTTCTCTGTTCATGCTTCGTCTGCAAAGTAACTCCTTCACTGGTGCAATCCCAGATGATCTCTGCAGCGTTCCAAATCTACGCATTCTGGACCTCTCCGGAAACAAAATCTCGGGCCCGATTCCAAAATGCATCAGCAATCTCACAGCCATTGCTCGAGGTACAAGCAATGAGGTGTTCCAGAATCTAGTCTTCATTGTGACAAGAGCTCGTGAATACGAAGACATAGCCAATAGCATAAACCTTTCGGGGAACAACATAAGCGGAGAGATCCCAAGAGAAATTTTGGGCCTCTTGTATCTTCGAATCCTGAATTTATCCAGAAACTCCATAGCAGGAAGCATTCCCGAGAGAATATCAGAACTGGCTCGCTTGGAGACGCTTGATCTATCAAGAAACAAGTTTTCTGGACCCATTCCTCAGAGCTTGGCAGCAATATCTTCTCTGCAAAGGCTTAATCTTTCATACAATAAACTGGAGGGGAGCATACCTAAGCTTCTCAAATTTCAAGATCCATCCATATACGTTGGAAATGAGTTACTCTGTGGGAACCCACTTCCTAAAAAATGTCCAAAAGACATTAATAGCAAAATGTTGTAGTGAATTGAGCATAAGGAAGGTGCTAAGAAGTACCTTACAAGATAATGTACCTGCTCATATACCAAAAATAATAGAATTATCAGCTCTATGTTGACCATGTTGGAACCAATTACATGAAATTAGTCTCTTAAGACATATCAATGTGATGAACAATGAAATTTTCAGGTGTCATATCCGAATAAAACTTGACCAGGTAACTTGTAATCAGAACAGCAACGTTACTTTCAGCAGCATCACTTGCAAAAACCAACCAACTAATTCAAATCTTCTGAAGTAAACCTAAATGATTCAGGTCGAACAAGAACCTTGTGCATACTTATCAACAACACAAAAGCTAATCAAGAGACAGTGAATTGTATAGAAATGCCCACTAAGCAAAGAGCACGAAAACGACTGATTGAATATAAAGAGAAAAATCTTCAATTTGTTTCTCACATATTGATCATTCACTTGAAAATAGTGTTGAGCACGAGAAACAACTCACAACTGCCTTATCTGTCCATGTTAAGCAGTTCTAATTGATGAAAAACAAAAAACTACACACATTATTCTGGAGACCAAAAACAACATACATTACTACACACATTATTCTGGAGACCAAAAACAACATACATTGCTCCGCACGTACTCATAGCTAAATCCCAAAGTTAAAACAACAATCCACACAAAAGTTTGTGTCTCCTATTTCTAGGCCCTTGTTGAAACAGTAATAAGATAACAATTTCCACCTTAATGAATAAGTCCAAAGTTTCTGTTTTTGTTGTTCATCCACCAAAATTCGCAAGCATAGAGTGAAAATGGACAGATTCTATGACCGATACTCATCAATCATCATCATCATCTTCATCATAACAAATCTAATTATCTCTGTAAAATTCCAGCTAAAAGAAGAATTCACAACTAGCAACTGCACTATCAATGGGACAAAAAAAATAGAAGAGCTTTCAGATTCAAACCGAACGAAATCAAACAGGTGTTTTTGTTCTGGTTTTCACATTTTGATTCGATTTGGTTATTCCGGTTACGGATTTTGGTTTAAATTAGTGTGGTTTTCACTTTTCAGTAAAAAAATAATCCGAAAGCGGTGATTCATTCTTGTTTGTTTCTCCATGAATATTTCACTGCCCACTAAAGAAAGCAAATTGGGCTTTGATGGCTTTACAAAGCCCATTAGATCTTTTCTAAAGGCGAGGATATATAACGTTTTTTCTTTTTATAACGTTAACACTTCTTATAATATTTTAAGATAAATCAATTTTTGGTACCATCTCTTTTGCTTTTTGTTTTTTAAAACCAAATGGAGCTTGAAAAAAAGATAAATGCATGTAGGGAAGGGCCTTTTATACCTTAAAAAAAAAAAAAAAGCTGAAACTTGGCTACTAAATGTATGGTATTATGGTGGAGTATATAAATCGATGACTTTAAGGAATTATATAATTAGTTGGTTACTATTAATTTTTGTAAAAAATTGGATAAAAAGGATTGAGAGATATGTAAGAAAATGATGGTTCAATTGCAACTTTGGATGCCAGATCTGTCTCTCCTTTACACGCAAAACTATGCCGTTTCTGGTTCTCCTTTTTGTTTCATTTTGTCTCTTTTATCTTTTTCTTTTCCCGTTGTGGTTTTTTAAGGACACGGCAGCGTAATCAACTAGATATATTTAAGATCATCTGCACTAACATATATCGAAAAAGATCCAAAACTTTGTTTTTATGTCCAAATCCATAATTTCCAGACACTAAAAACTGACATATAATATTAATATCAAGCAATAAGATACTATAATCTTGACAAAAAGTATAGTAGAATACTAGTCATTATCATCATTACCAATTTGTTGACACAACATCAATGCAGGTTCGCTATGCATGTGCCTGTATTTTGGCTTGGGGACCTCTGAAGTTAAGTCACCATGCAAGTACTATAACTATATCCAACCAGTTAAATTTGTTTGCATCCCTCAATGCTTCGTGACTATTAAATGCAACACTACAGGAAGACTTTACGTTGTCTATATTTCTTTAACTATATAAACGTCAAATACTTTTTCTTGTTGTTTGTTTTTTCCTAATAACGGGGGATCGATCCCCATGACCTAGCTTGGACGTATTTTTGTCCTACAATTGTTTCTCATTGCTATATTTTCACAATCTATCGTTCTTTGTTAAAGATATACTTCATTTAAAAGTTGACTTAAAACAATACTTCATTTACAAAATTGTTGGTTGTTTTTCCAAGTCAAATAATCTCGCTTTTTCTGGTAGGAGTGATAAAAAAAAATTGGAAAAAAATTAGCTCACAAAGTCATTTCGAGTGACTGAATTAATCACATTAAACAAACTGAACCAATACCCTGTCATAAATTGTTTAGACACATATGAAGTCAAATTTTGGAAACTCTGATTAGTCTCAACTTATATTTTACGGTAAAATATTATATACTATCTATTATAAGTACATATATATTATCTTTTTTTCATTTAACTCCCACAAAATAAATTTACCTGCCAAAATGGAAGTTTCAAATTTTTGAATCAGACAAGCAACATAACAATTGTTGATTTTTGTACGTACGATCTCATAAGCTACTATGATACTAGGCGAAATATTCATACAAGAAGATAATTAAATATATTTCTACCTATTCGAAATGGGATTTGGACCACTTGGGACTCCATGTTCATTGGCACCGAGCATCTTCCCCTTCCGCCATGTTGTCATCGGCCGCCGAACTCTAAACCTCTCTCTTCTTTTCCCTTCCGGCGAAGTCACCGCCATGTCACTAAAATGTTGAACATTGGAGCCAATCTGGTGAGTTTGATCAGTGGTTCTTTGGTGGGTTTGGAGGATTAGAGAAAGGAAGAAGAAGAGAACAAGTGAAATGATGATGTGAGGAGATCTCATCACATGTTATACCGATATAAGATAATAACAACACAACAAAAACGACAACATATATAAAAAAATGGTTTATGTCACTTAAGGGTTATTCAGAATCGAGGACCTCTTGAAAGATCAAGAAATGAGTTTTGATATTTTTCTCTAAACTTAGAGAGCTAGTAGAGAGAGATATTGTGGATGAAGTTTTTTTGTTTTTGTGTATTAATGCGTGGAAAGTGTTGGAGGTAAAGAAAGAAAAATAAAAGAAAAAGCAAAGATGGTACGATTTTTTTTTTACTTTGTTGTGGTGTGAACTTTGAGGATTGCTGGAGACTGAAAAATCAAAGGGGTTACGTTACAATATATGACGTCAATCCTTGTATAAAACACTCAATATTATACTTATTGAAAATATTTATAATTTATAATTTACTTTTAATTTACTTATAATTTACACCACTGGAAAAACTTTTGAAAAATGGATTTTTAGGTAAACTGAAAGCTGTCGAGTGTAGACGACGAATCTTATCAATTGATTTGGAGGTGTCGGAGACAAACACAAGCTGACGAACAATTTTATTTTCATCTTATACTAAATTATATAATTAACCAAATAAAAAGGAAAAGGTTGAAGAAAGAAGAAAAAGAGAGAAAAAATTACGGAAAATTAGCCAGAAAAAGACAAAGAGTATATCTTCCATGACAAGATTTAACGATGTCATGTTCCTATTTTAGACATTTTTCATGTCACTGGTCAAAATATATGTTGGTCTTCCCGAAAATACTCTCCTAAATTAGGTAAAAATAAATAACAAAAGAGAGGCGTGTATAACTAGGATAAAATCAAAATCATTGGACAACTTATAAATGTTCACAGCTTATAACTTTTACCGAATGACAACAGTGCTTATAGTTCATGGTTAATTAGTTTGGACACGAATTAAAAAGTTTGAACTAAAATTTGTTCGGAATATTTTACCAGGAAAAATCAATAAAATTTTGTGTATCTGCAAAAATTATATATTTATTTCGACCAAATTTATAATCTATTGAATCGTTAACAAAAAGTTTTGCTACGATATTTCAAACTATACAGACATGTACATCACCGTGGCTAGTGAGAACTTTTTGGAAATTTTATTATAGTTTGCCGTCGTAACCCGACATATGACTATGCTGTAAGTGGTCGATCTAGTCCAATATGAGTATGACAAGGAAGACCGAGACATATGTGGTCGATCGGTTGATCATGGTTAGGATGTCACCGTATGACACTTATCTAAGACAAATATATTGTATGGATATGTGTCCTCAAATGCAAATTAATTTAAAAGCATTAGAAGTTTGCACCAAAAAAAAGCATTAGAAGAAGAACTATAAAATATTGAACTTTACCACGAGAAAATATCATACGTAGTATATTATTTTTAAGATAAATTTCTTTATCAAACTCACATTGAAATCTGTTCATCTATTTTTCAAAATACTAAAGTTTAATCATTTTTTTCAAAAGTTTTGCCATTTGTTATGTATCAAAAAAAAAATTCCATTGAGACCATTTTCCTCATGAAAATTAGCATCATATATACAACTTTTCTTCCTGTAACGCTCACATATGTTTGCACGCAACATAAAAAAATAGAATTCTACCGCTAATATCATCTAATGCTAAGTACACGATCACTCATCTTTCGTAAGCATTCTTTAATAATCAAATTCCATATGTGCGCAAGCTATCAATATTATCAAGAGTTATGTTAAAACTTTTTCTATACCCCAATGAAACAAGCATTTTGCAAATTGTTTTGCAATTGTATCCCTTCATGATCTGATATTGGACTAAAACCAACAATTTTTCTGCAACCACTAGTTATCATCTATAAAATGTGCTGTGATAGCCATATATAGAGCTAGTTGTTGTAGTAGTTGTCCATATATCTGTATTGCAATGTATCCTTTTGTTCATTAAAAGAATACTTGTAAGGATGAGTTTCTCGCTCATGAACAAATTGAATGCCTTTCTAGTAGATATCTTACTTAGTACATGCCTTAGTAGTTAGTACATAAGTAAATCCTAAAACACGGAGATTTTACACCAGAAAAATGCTAAATAACTCATCCAATATTATTATGTTAACCAGTTGTGTGATTATATTTTGACATGATGAGCTTCATAACCTTTTGAATACTTCATTGGTATTCCATGATTTTTTTTTTTCTGACAATCCTACTTTTCGGAGGTCTCCTATAACCAACAAACGACTTAAGAGCATCGCCGATATTGCATTTTCCATCAACAGTTTAGGAATACGATATTCCACCCAAACATTCACAATTATACATATGCAATATCGATCGTTTTGTAAGAATAATTTTAATTAGTTCGATTAATATTGTTTAATTAATCGGTTTGGTTTGACTCTCCTCTCATGTCACTCATTAGTGAGGAGGAAACCAAGAAGATTGTTCATCGCAACCATGTTTTGCGGCAAACGAACTCAACAGGAAATTAAATAAAGACATGGTTGCAGTCGTGTCACGTTGTCCAACATGTGCGACCATGCATGATCAAATAGAGAAAGTAGATAACTTTGGTATTTTCTTCCTTTTAAACCCAAAAACTGTATCAAACCAATATATATTTTGTCCATTATCAGACCAATATATAAAGAAAGAATTAAAAAAAATGGTTAACAATTTTAATCACCAAAAAACCTTTAAAAGCTAATTAGAAAATTAAGTACAAAGTCCCTACTTGCCAACGGCTAATTCACCCAACGGCTCCTTTGGACTCTCCGCTGCTTTTGGACCCTCCACGGTCACGCCTTCATCTTCATTAATTAATTATCTAATTAGGAGCTATAACTACTAACCAATAAAGTTAAATGATCTTTATTGACCCGTTAATTAATCCATCGATAAAATCTTTCAAAAAGTTAATTTTAAATTGTCTTAAACGAACAATTTCTGCATTTCCCATAGTATAAAAAAAAGGAAAACGAGAAGCTTCCTCGAGACCCTCAACATACTTTGTCTTCGTCCGAATATGTCTTCCCCTGTTTTTTACACTCTGTTTTTTATTCTTTCTTTTTCCCGACACGTTTCCAAGTTTAGAGGATAAACACTAAACAATTCAATGACTCGCAATTTTCTTTTACTACTCTCTCTCTCTGTAAGAAACCCTTCTAAAAATAGATAAAACAAAACACTGTTGCACTTGAAATTCTGTTTCTTCATGGTTACCTTGTCCTTCGAGTCTAACACCACTCGTCGTTACTCTGTTTTTAGCTGAAACAAACGAGAAAATTTAGTGTCTTCAGTAATCAAAAACCAACTTTTTCTTTTTCTTTCCCTTTGAAGAGAGAAAGGTTTTGATCATTTCCTAAGATCCAAATCAAAGATGGGGCTTTGTGTTTGTGATCGTTGACAAATAGGTCAATTGGCTTAAAGAAAATGGCCTCGTTACGACCTAGCTTCGGATCCATCCTTAGAGATCGCAACCAACGGCACAATGACGACGTTGTTTTCAAGAAAGCTCAAGTGAAAACTGCTCCTCCTGCGATCTCCGACGAGAGTTCTCAAAACAGAGTTGATTCTTTGATCGGAAACAAGCGGAAAAAGAACAACAAAAGCCGTCTTGGATCGCCGGAGAAACCACGTACCAGAAAAGTGAACAACTTTTCCGACAGCGATAAGCAGTTGAAGAGAAACGACAATGTTGGAGGAGCTTCTTCTCTTGTGCAGATATGGGAGGCGAGGCTTAATCGATCCAACGGCGGAAACTCGCCGATCCATGGCCAATCTATAGAGATCAGCTCAGAAGCGAGCGTTCAAGAAATCCACATTTTGGCTCCATCCATCGACGGAGAATCTGAATCAGAGAACGAATCGAAGAGTCCTGATCTGACGGTGGAGATTGAATCTGAGACACTCAATTCGGTTTCTGATTCCGGTGAGAGCAAATGTGGCCGAGTCGCTGATATTATCCATAGATTGAGTAACGAACAGAAGCTAACCGCCAGCAATAATGGTGGTGCCGCCGACATACCGATCGTTAAAACGCCCACGCAGGAGAAAAGCAGTTTTCCGGTAGTTACTTGTTCGCCGCGATTCCGAGGACGGCAAGCTTACTCCGATCTGCTTGTGCATTTGGAACGAGAACGTCACCGCGAATTGGAATTGCTTCTTGGACGCAACGCAGTTTCTAGGTTTCCTCAACGTGGTCGCCTCCAGGTATTTACAGTTTGAGAAAACGCCCCAAACATTCTAACATCATTTATACAAACAGCTACGAGCTTTACTAACTTACAAAATCGACCAAGTTTCAATGTTTAAAATCGCGATTTCTTTCACTATTCCTTGTTGTGCAGTCAATGTTGCGGCTAAGGAGTCTCAAACGCGGCCTAGCGATTCAAGATCGTCATCGTGGTACCACGAAAGGCGATTCAAATCGCTTCCAACCTAGTTCTACAATTCTTCATCTAAGGTATAATCAAGAACCTCTGTCTCCCGTTTACAAGTTGAACTTTTTTTTCTCCTCTCCTTAATGTTTAAATCGTACTGCAGCGAAAAATTCCGGGAAAACGCAGCAAACACTGACGCTGAAGCCAAACAAAAGAAGGGCCAACAATACACCGTAGAAACAGAGAGCATGGGGTCAAAAGAAATGACTTTTACTATTGATACGCCTTCCACAGAGCGATTAAGCCCTCAAAACCGCAACATAGAGGAAGCAATCTTACGCAAGAACGAAACAAAAATGAATTACCTTCAGCTGAACAAAGCCATAGTAGCAGAAGTTTTGAAAAGAAAATCTGATAACACTAGCCCTATCACCAGCGTAACTCATCAAGAACCGCGGATACTAGGGAAGGAGCAAGCGAACAAAGTAGAAAGCAGTACGCAGAGAACTCAAGAGACACCGTTCCTTGAGACACAAGAAACGTCATTCCAAAGTGGATGGGAAGAGCAAGAAGAGTATGAGGATGAGCAGTCTTATTACGGAGACATGAGCTACGATTGGTTTACAGAAATATCTCGGCCTCGGACTTACTGGGAAGATCTGAGGAAATCTCGGTATCTGGAAGTGATGAACACTAAATCTGACAAGGGCGATATATGCAGACTTCTTGAGAGGTAAACACTATTAGAGAACCCTTTTTTATTTTTCAAAAAATCCTAAAATTGGTTCTATGGATTATACAGAAGAACGGTTTCGGATTTCCTCCAAAGCGGATTACGAGAGAAGATCGATAAGCTCATAATGGCCCGTGTTCAGATACATCCGGCTCACCGTATTCCACAAGCATGTAAAGAGGAAGAGAAATATGACATAAGCGAAGAAGAAGAGAAATGTGACATAGGCGAAGAAAAAGATGAAGACAGAGATGACTTGAGCCAATCATCATCACAAATATTTGCACCGTCTCCGGCAGGATCATGGAGTTCTCAGGACACAGGAGTTACTTCCACACCAACGCACAATCTTCATTCCAATGTGAGCCTCTTCTTTTCTTGTTGAAATGTCGCAATCAGTTTGGTGAGATTAGCATTTATATTTCATAAAAATGTTTCAGGAGATGGAGATTATAGGCGAATTGAGATCACACATTTTACAGCTCCAACTAGAAATGTCTGAGCTACGAGACTCTGTCAAAACGTGTTTGGACGTAAACGCTAGCCTTCAAAAGTCGGTTCAGCGGGAAAACCCCTTGAAACGCAAATGCTGCGTTTGTAACGAAACGCAAGTTGAAACACTTTTATACAGGTAAGAAAATCAATCACCTCTAATATTTTGATTTGGTTTGGTTTTTGCACCCTTACAATATTTCAATTGCGTTTGGTTTCTGCAGGTGCGGGCACATGTGTACATGCCTGAGATGCGCAAACGAACTACAATATAATGGCGGGAAATGCCCGATTTGTCATGCCAAGATCCTAGACGTTGTTCGCGTTTTCGTCGATTCAAGAACCTGAAATTAATAATACAAAGGGTTCAAAACGCTAACAATACTTCACTTTATCTATAACACGTTTTCTTTTTTCAGTTCCTCTGTTTGCTTTTAAGTTTGACTGGCGCGTTTGCGTTTTGGATCTGCGTCCGAGATTCATATCTATGCTTTTTATAGGTGAATCACTAACCAAATCTATTTTCTTGACGTTGAAGTTTGCGTCTTGTAAAGATACTCTACATATGCCTCCTTTCACTTTCCTTCCATCAAATTGGAATAGGATTTGTAGAATGTACGAGGTTTAGTATTTACCGTTTATTCTATATGTTTTTGTGTGTACCAATCTGTAAAAAAATGAAGAAAAAATTTGGGTACTTTTTCCAATTCGTAAAAATGGAGAACTATGCAGAAAACAGAGGAAAACAAAGCAGAGCATAAAGATCTGAACTTTTTGAAGGAAAGGTGAAATATCATATTTTTCAAATGCTCATAATGTCTTTCATCGATTTTGGAACGTAAAGGAGACTCAAATCTAAACGGAAGATGAAACTTCTCTCTCCAATGATATATACAGACCGAACATGTATTATTGCAAAGTCTTAGTGCTCTGTTTTTTTTTTTTTTTTTGTTGTTTTGTGTGTTTCACGCGTTCTGTGCTGCTAAGAAGGTATTGAAATCATCTCTAGCTTTCAACAGTCTTGGGGTAATACATGTTCGTGGCGAAGCTGGGCACGAATCCGAGGTTGTGGTCGAGAATCTGACACGGCGTTGCGGGGATGTCTCCGCCGAATCCCTTAGTTGTCTTCCCGACAGAGAACTGCTTTTCTTTAGAACGCTTCTCAAAGCTAGATTTCCCGTTTCCTTGTCAAAGAAGAAACCAGAACTCACTGGTTCTTGCACATCTCCACCGCCACATTTGATCATCTCCACCGGCAGATCGAAATACAATCTGCCGTTTTCGCGGGTTAGAGCTGTCGTTGAAGCCCATGAGCCACATTCGAATTTCTCGAGCGAGGCACTTAGTGAGACAGTGGAATTTGAGAATGATGACGCTTTGATCATTTTCTTCTTTATAGAATCCTCGCTTTTTGGTGATCTCACAAGTTTTTTTCCAAACCCAGGGAAGGATAAACAGAAGGCATTGCACTTGAAATTTTCTTCTTCTTGGTAGAAGTTTTTCTCGGGATACCTATATTTTCGTATAGAAAGCATTGATTCTTGGTGGCTAAGCTTCTTCCGTGGTCTCATCATCGGCTCGGGAAGAACAGGAAGAGGCACAGCGTTGTCTCTTGGCGGAGACATCGCAAGAGGTAAGACCATTCTGAAGCTTTCGTCGTTCACTGATGGGCGAGAGACGGTCATCTGGTTCTGCAGAGCCGCCTTCTTCACCAAGAAATTAATATTAGGGTTAGGGTTTTCTCCGGGATAAACGCTGAAACCCTGCCAATCGTCGTTGCTCCATTTCTGGATTAAACCATCTTCAAACACAATCAATGCTGGAGGAGACATAACAAACTCAGAAATCTTAAGAAGATGTACTTAAGATAATGAACGAAAAGGTTTGATTTTTACGGTCAGAATTCTCTGAATATATATAAATGGGGGAAGAAGTGGAAAGCACGTCTATGTCGGCGTGGAGAAGTAGTGACTAACATGTTGGGATATCAATACAGAGGCGGTCTGAAGAAGAAGGTACATAATTATATCTGAATATACTAAATCAGTGTCTCCACATTTTGACCATAAGCTTCTTAGCAGTGTTAGGTACGTGTAGATAATCAAATGAATTGAGAATCTTGACAAAAAAATAATCTAAAATGATTTGAGACTTAATAAGATAAGATTTTTATTTGTTGGAACATTGCATGTTAGGTTCTTGGATGTTGAATCTATACTACATATGAACGATGAATGTGCGTGTCTTCAAAATTTTAAGTCAGTCAATCAAAAAAATTGTTTAAAAGTATTTTAAAATGGAGTGTTATTTACTTACTTATTGTACATAGTATACATGAATGGCATTTGCCATGCCAAGACTACCAAAGATATATAAAGAATTGTGGGGAAACGTTTTTTAGTACTAAAGATACCCAATACATGTAGCTCTTCCAGATAATTATCAAGTTATTTTGCTTCGTAGAGAGGTTAGAAACTTGATCCCAAGCTCACACTTTGATGAGAAAAAATGATTTGTGCCTCACACATGTGATATTAACCGTTTATTCTGATTCTCGAACCAAGGAGGGATTATAGACAAAGATATGAAACATTCACGTTTTTTTTTTTTTATATATATACATATATATATATATATATAGATTTATAGGCAATTTAACTACACATACCATAAGACATTTTTAACTATAATTTTTTATAGGTTAGATGAACTAGGAAAATATTTTCAAAATTTTATGTTATTGAAATTTTCTCATGTCTTGTATGATTTAAGGAAGTATTTCCAGTTTTTTTTTTTTTTTTTTTTTTTGTCAAAGAGAGTTCTAAGTAAAATACAAAGAAAATTTTAAATTAAATTCATTATTTTGGTGATTAGATGATTTCATTTTTTTTTTCGAGCCAAATGAAAATACTATGAGAAAAGTCAATTTTACATTATCAATAATAAAAAATTCCTATATTACATTACTTTTTTAAAGGGAATATTGCAAAATCTACCACATTTTAACAACTGGCATTCAAAATCTACCACAATCTCAAAAAGCTTTCAAAATCTACCATATTTCAATAGCATATGTGGAATGCTGGACCAAAATACCCCTGATTGGGACAGAGTCTGTGTCAGGGACAGAGTCTGTGTCAAAGACAGAGACAGTTTTGTCTGGAGCTTCCAAAGAAGGAGCAGGTCTACAATAAATGCTGCACGGTTATTTAAATAATATGTTATATCATGGACAAATTCAGATCTAATGAGTAATATAATTAGATCATGGACAAATTCAGATCGAATGGGTGATATAATTAGATCGAGGACAAGTTCAGATCGAATGGGTAATAGAATTAGATCGGGGACAAGTTCATATCGAATGAGTAATAGAATTAGATCGGGGACAAGTTCATATCGAATTCAGATGGAATGGGTAATAGAATTAGATCGGAGACAAGTTCAGATCGAATGAGTAAGAGAATCAGATCGAATATGTTATATCGGGGACAAGTTCAGATCGAATGAGTAAGAGAATTAGATCGGGGACAAATTCAGATCGAATGGGTAATAGATATAGATCGAGGACAAGTTCAGACCGAATGGGTAATAGAATTAGATCGGGAACAAGTTCAGATCGAATGAGTAATAGAATTAGATCGGGGACAAGTTCAGATCGAATGAGTAATAGAATTAGATCGGGGACAAGTTCATATCGAATGAGTAATAGAATGAGTAATAGTACTCGGGGACAACTGGATCTTTTTGTTATTTTGCAATAGAAGGAAAAAAAATTCAATAATCAGGGTAGGTGAAGACAATAATGCTCAACTAATCTGTGGACCAAAATAGATGGTGAAAAATCTAAATAAAATTCGAAACCCTTAAATGAGAACAATTGGTGGACAAGATGTGGAATTCATGATAATAGAGCAAGATGATGAAATCGGGGACAAGATCTAGACGCAACAGAGAATTTCCAATCGGGGACAAGATCTGGAGACAAAAACGAAAGTTAATTGTTTAGTCTCAGGAGATATAATGTTTCTTGGTTAAAATGCACGTGTTTCGAGGGAGAGAAGGATAAATAGAGAAGCTAATATTGTAGGGAAGATAAATAGGGAGGAGAGATAAATAGGGAGGAGAAATAATTAGGGAGGAAAGATAAAAAGGAAGATAAAAAGGGAGGGCAAAATGGTAACTCTACATCAAAATGTGGTATGAGTTGAAAGAAATGAAGGAATGTGGTAGATTTTGAAAGAAATTGGGAATAAGTGGTAGATTTTGTAGTTTTTCCTTTTTTAAAATGGAAGACGCAGCAACCCAATATTTTAACTGGTGGTTGAAAATAAAACCGCGTAATTGGAATGTTGGTTGATTAATAATGGGCCGAACATTGAAGCCCAAATTGATAAAAAGGCAAAAAGAGTTTTTTTTTTTTTTTTTGAAAAGCCTATTCGTTCTAAACCCTAAACCGGAGCAACGCGTTAGCTGGTATCTCTTCCGTCTTCTTCCTCCGACCTGTGTCTTTCTTCTGATCCTTCGAAAAGCTCTCGTGAGTCACTACTCTTCTCTAATGTCTGTACATGTAAAGGTACATAATTTTATTATTACTTCCTGATTATAGTTGCAATCTCTTTCTTTTCTTGATTTAATACCCAATACTTTGTTTTTGACATTTTGGCTTACCTTTGATTCCGTAGCTGTTCTTGTTGACAAATCACAACTTTTTAGATTTAGGGTTATCAGAAAGTGTCCAGCTTTGTTCAATTTAAACTCGTATAAGTAACTAGAATGGTTTAGAGACTCAATTCTCAGTTACAATTATTGTAGACAGATGCAATTCAGAGGATTGGATTATGCTTGATTTTAAAGTTTAGTTAACCCAAAAAAGTTTGTTCTTTTAAGGCATGGAAGGTTTGTGCTGTGTTGTATATTTTTGATTAGTTTCTGTCATTGTTTAGGAAGAACCTGTGCTTGTGCCAAACTGCGATGTCGAAAATACAGAGCTTGCAGTTTTTTATGTAAATGGAGAAACTGAGCTTGAGGATTTCGGGACTTGCGTAGATGAGATAACTGATAGAGTGAATCAGGTGACAATTGCCTTCAATTGACACTGCTACTTTCTTGTTTTCGAATCTCTTACCGCTATATTGGAGTGCAGCTTGAGCAAAAAGTTGTAGAGGTTGAGCACTTTTACTCTTCAAAAGATGGAGCAGCTCAAACTAATACTTCTAAGAGTAACTCGGGTGGAAAAAAGGTCGCTATTTCTCAACCAAACAACTCCAAGTGTAACTCGGCCGGGAAAGAAAAATCAAAGGGAAAACATGTTTCCAGCCCTGACCTTATGCGTCAATTTGCAACAATGTTTCGTCAGGCAAGCAAGAAAACATATGCCCTTTGTCTCTATGATACTATTCTCAGATTATGACGAAAATCGAAAGCCTGGATCTTGGATTACTTTGTTTAATGCTTCCTTAGTTTACCAAATTTTTATTGTTTACTCTGTGTTTGCTGCATGTAAACCTTCATCTTCATATACTTCTTAGATTGCTCAACATAAATGGGCATGGCCGTTCTTGGAGCCTGTTGATGTTAAAGGACTTGGACTTCATGATTATTACAAGGTAAAGATTCAAACTGTTGCTAATATACTGTGGGCCAAATTAATTTTATGGTAAAATAGAAGGCCAGGTTTACATGGAATTTTTACTGAAATGAGCGATTTTGAAAAATGTTTATAGTTTCTGTTCATTACTTAACAGGTTATAGAGAAGCCAATGGACTTGGGAACAATTAAAAAAAAAATGGAGAGTTCGGAGTATAGCAATGTCCGGGAGATATACGCTGATGTAAGACTAGTTTTCAAGAACGCGATGAGATACAATGAAGAAAAAGAAGATGTTTATGTGATGGCTGAATCTCTTCTGGAGAAATTTGAGGAGAAATGGCTCCTGATAATGCCTAAACTTGTTGAAGAGGTACACCAAGTGTTCAATTTCCAAGTATTTGTCTTTGTAATGTCAGTGATGTGTTAACTGCTATGGTATGAACAGGAAAAGAAACAGGCAGATGAAGAAGCCGAGAAGCATGCAAATAAGCAGCTTACTCTGGAGGCTGCACAAGCCGAAATGGCTAGGGATTTAAGCAATGAAGTAAGCAAATGCAAAACCGTTCTTTAGTTGTTGCTCTGTTTCATTTCAGGCCATTTATTATAGTAGCTCTGGTTTGATGAGTTTCCTTTGCACGTATCTTTAGCTATATGAGATCGATCTGCAGCTGGAGAGACTCCGGGAATCAGTAGTTCAGAGATGCAGGTTTGAGAAACCTCTTTTCTTAATCATTTTACCCTTAATGACGGTGTTGTTAACCAAGTTTTTCGTTTGATTTTGAAAATGGACAGAAAACTGTCTACTCAAGAAAAGAAAGGACTTTCTGCAGCTCTAGGCCGTCTCTCACCTGAGGATCTGTCTAAGGCCTTAAAAATGGTTTCAGAGAGCAACCCGAGTTTTCCGGCTGGAGCACCAGAAGTCGAGCTTGACATCGATGTTCAGGTCAACACCAAAATCTTCCTTTTATTTCTCTGTGGTTTTTGCATCAGAAATCCGGGCTTTAACGGGGTTTTCTCTCTGTTGGTGAACAGACTGATGTTACATTGTGGAGACTGAAGGTGTTTGTGCAAGAAGCATTGAAAGCAGCTAACAAAGGCTCTGGAGGAACAAACGCTCAGAACAATAACAATACCGGAACTGGAGAGATCAACAAGAACAATGCGAAAAGACGGAGAGAGATCTCTGATGCAATCAATAAAGCTTCAACTAAAAGAGCTAAGAAGGCTTGAATCTTTCTCTCTCTCTCTCTCTCTCTCTCTCTGTGTTTATTGATCAACAAGGAACAAGAGTTTGGTGAACACCAATCTAAATTAGAAACTTTCCAGTTCCATTGCGCATGTTGCTTCAAATGTTGGCACAATGTAAAAAAGAATGAATGTGGAAAAAAATCAATCTGAGAAGAAAAAAAATCTGAGCTAGAGAGGAGATATATAAAAAGACTGCTTGGAGCAGAAATCTAATAAGATCTTCAGTTTGAGCCTTCAGTTTGAGCCGGAGAGATCTTTGGTTTGTTGAACGTTTCTTCGCTTTCATTACCTTAAACCTCGCACTTCTAATTTGTACTTATAATTTAAAAACGATCAATTTTAAAAATTTGATAATATTATGTGGGGATTTCAAAACTAATAATGCATAGTATGTGAATCTATCTACAATAGATAATTTTATGCTTAAGAGTTGGTCACATGCATCATTCTACTGCAATATCGAACACAAATGTGTCCAAACTCCAAACCAATGAGAAAATATGGGAAATTTCATGACATGTTACAACCAATTCACTTGTTTTGACGATTTCGAAATAAATTAAAATAAACAGTGATAGTATAGGAAAGATATGTACAATTGTACGATACAAAAACAAGCATAAGGTTTAGTTTTGGGCTTTTAGCTCAATGTCTATTTCATAATAGATTAATTTTTGCCCAAACATGGAAATTGAATGACACCAACAAGTATGGGTGCATATGGTTGTACATTTAGATGAATAAAAGTAGGTTAAAAAACATTCATCTATTTTTTCACCATTTGTTCAACTCTTTCAACTTTTTCAAGTCAGTTTGTTTCCAATCATTCATCTACACACAATCATTTGCACTCATAATCTATAAATTCATGGTCGAATAATGTAGTTCTCAATCCGTCTTGAGGCTTACATTCGGAGTTTCCAAAGGGCGACTGAAAGTGTCAAAACAATTGGGCATGACATAATAGTTTCCGTAGTTGTCTAGAGGTTTGTACTATCGTAGTTTCTATCTTTAGCACAAACTTCTCGAAGTTTCCAATGACTTGCTATGTTTCTATCTTTGGTTTTCTGAAATTTAAGAGGCCAGAAATGATAACTAGATATTTAATAGTGTTAATAAACACATGTCTTGTTGGCCATTCTTCTCAAATCCACCATCATTATATATGTTGTAGATATTTCATAAAAGGTCTAATACTTAGATATACAACCATCATAAAAAAAAAGATATTTTAATGGTTTAATGCAAATGACCATATGACTTAAGAAATTTTAAATAAACTTTATACGTAGATACGACGCGTGGGTTGTTTTCTAGTAGATATAGTTAACCATCATAAAAAATATATTTAGATGGTTTAATGCAAATGACTATATATATGGCTTAAGAAAATCTTAATCACCATAGAAAGTAGTTATGTTCTTATATAAATTTAAATGAACATGTACATTTTAAAGATTTAGTTTTTACAGTCTCATAATATTAAATTTAAAGGTATATATTTAAAATTTAAATTAATTAGGTGGAAAATTGTTTTCTTCTTTGGATTTTGAAAGCCAAGGGCCTTGCCCACTGTTTCTATTCTCTTATATAATGCTACCATTGTTCTTTCTCTCAAAGCCCACAAAACAGTTTCGACATATTTTGGTAAGATAAACCCAAATGTTGGTTTTTTTCCTCGCTAATATTAAACTAAACGCAAGCAGAGATTTTACCTATAAACAGAGATCCTCTGTTTCAAAGCTTGTCACTTTTCTCATTTCTGGTTTTCCTTCTCTCTCTTTAGCCCTCTCTCTTACACTCAGTTTCTTGTTTCGCATCGCTGTCTCTGGTTTGAGAGGGGGTTTGTGTTTTGCGGTGACTAGGAGATTATAAATTGTTGGTTGTCGAGTTTTTATTTTCATGTGTTGGTGATAATTAGCTTTACGTCTATGCTGAATTATAGTGCATAAGTGATTTCATTGAAAGGTTATGAAGAAGGCTAAACAGGTTAACGTTTGTTCAGGATATAAAAGTCGAAGATGAAGTACGTGCTTGTAACAGGAGGTGTTGTGAGTGGATTAGGGAAAGGAATCACTGCAAGCAGTGTTGGTGTCCTTCTTCAATCTTGTGGTCTTCGCGTTACTTGTATCAAAATTGGTATCTTTCTTTCACAGAGTTCAAATTGTTGATATCGTTTGCTTGTGGGGCACTCAATCTAAAGCCATTTTTTTTAATCTCCAGATCCTTATCTGAATTACGATGCTGGAACCATATCTCCTTACGAACATGGTGAAGTGTTTGTCTTGGACGATGGTAGTGAGGTAAAAACAAAACCAACTTGCCTCTGCTCTTCTGCATTTTGGATTTAAAAACTTAAAAACGCTTTTGATGGATTTGCGGAAAAAAAAAGGTGGATCTTGATCTTGGAAACTACGAGAGGTTTCTAGATGTCACATTAACTCGAGATAACAATATCACTTACGGGAAGATTCAGCAGGTAACTACAGAATGTTTTATCTTTGGATTTATCTGCAACAAGCCCATAACTAAAGTACCTTTGTTGTTGTTGTTGTTGTCACAGTATGTGATCGAGAAAGAGAGGAAAGGAGATTACTTAGGGGAAACTGTTCAGGTAAATGAAAGATAGTTTCAACATTTCTATTTTGTCATCATAAGCTTTGAGTTTTAGGTTTTGGTTGGTAATGGAATTTAGATTGTTCCTCACGTCACTGATACAATCCGAGAATGGGTGGAGAAAGTTGCAATGATTCCTGTAGATGGAAAAGAAGGTCCTCCTGATGTTTGCATCATTGAATTAGGTGGAACTATAGGTAATACTAACACCGATAATTTCGATTTTCTTTGTTTGCTTCTTCTGTATATATAACAGAGAAATCTTTGTGTTTGCAGGAGATAATGAATCCAGGCCTTTTGCTGACGCACTTAGCCAATTATCATACAGTGTAGGCCGTGAGAATTTCTGTCTGATCCATGTCACACTCGTGCCAGTGCTCAGTGTTGTTGGTGAACAGGTATGTTTATATATTTCTAGCAATGAAGTGTATATATTTGCCTGAGAAACTTCATTTGTTTTAAATCTCTTACTTCAGAAAACAAAACCAACACAGCACAGCATTAGAGATCTACGAGGCTTGGGTTTGACACCTAATATCATAGCTTGTCGGAGCACAGAGGTTTTTTTACTTGTTCATCTTGGTGACTATCTCCTCTGCTTACATTATAAGAACTCTGTTTTCCTTTGTTGATAGGTACTTGAAGAGAATGTAAAAGCAAAGCTATCTCGGTTTTGCTATGTTCCGGTATGATGCATCTTGTGTTGAGTTTTTCCTTGTATTTTTTACCTGAAATATTGGTTAATCAGCTTCCACACTTATTGTTTTCAGATTCAGAACATCTTCTCTCTCTATGATGTTCACAGCATCTGGCACATTCCTTTGTTGCTCAGGGTAAGAGTTTTTAACTACTGGGAACTTACAAAAATTATCAGAGGTAACACTTGTTTTCGTCTCTTGAAACAGGAACAGAAGGCTCATGAAGCAATATCAAAAGTCCTGAACCTTTCTGGTATTGCTAAAGAACCTTCTTTAGAGAAATGGGCTTCAATGGTAGAAATTAGTGACAGTTTAAATGTACCGGTGAGTCTCAGCTTCCAAAGAATTTAATAGTTTGTAGCCTCAATGTCTCTTTCTTAACCCCCACGTAAATGTTTTACAGGTGAGAATCGCTATCGTGGGAAAATATACAGATCTCTCAGATGCCTATCTTTCTGTCTTGAAGGTAAACTTATACATCACTTTCTCATGGCACATTATTCTTAAGGTTTGGTTTAATGACCCTGCTTATTATTTAGGCTCTCCTCCATGCTTCCGTGGCTTTTGGAAAAAAGCTTGTAGTTGATATGGTTCCATCTTGTGATCTCGAAAAGACCACCAAGAAAGAGGTAAACAAGTCTGATTAATTACATTCATGCTAATTTGCCTCTTCCTGAATACTCTGAAACAGAATTGTGTCTCCGTTGGGCAGAATTCACGCGCATACGAGGCTGCTTGGAAGTTACTCAAGGTTTGTTTAAACTATTTTTTTGGCAATCTTTGAGAAGCCTGATGATTCATGACATTAGTATATATTGCTTCTTCAGGACGCAGATGGAGTTCTTCTCCCTGGAGGGTTTGGTGATAGGGGAATAGAGGGGATGATTCTTGCAGCGAAATATGCCCGAGAAAACAGTATCCCTTTCCTCGGTATCTGTCTCGGGATGCAGATCGCTGTTATCGAGTTTTCACGCTCACTTCTCTACTTGCCTGATGCAAATAGCACAGAGTTTGAACCTGAAACCAAAAATCCATGCATCATATTCATGCCTGAGGGCTCCACAACTCATATGGGAGGCACAATGAGATTAGGCTCGAGAAGAGCCTATTTCCATGTCAAAGACAGCAAATCTGCAAGACTGTAAGAAACCATCTTTTGATCCAAATCACTCTGCCAATTCTAGATTACTTATGTAAACTCTATTTACAGATATGGGAACAAAGAGTTTGTCGATGAAAGGCATCGCCATAGATATGAGGTACGAATTTTTTAATACACATTTTGGTTTCTTAAAGCTTGGCCATTTCTTGATACCACTAACTGGTTTATTGCAGGTGAATCCTGATATGGTTGCATGCCTCGAGAAGGCGGGTCTCTCTTTTGCTGCAAAAGATGAAACTGGCGAGCGAACGGAGATTGTTGAAGTTCCAAGCCACCCTTTTTTCATCGGTGCTCAATTCCATCCCGAGTACAAGTCGAGACCCGGGAAAATATCTCCTCTGTTCTTAGGTCAGAGTTCTTGTCATGATTTTAAACAAAACCTCAAAACTTTTTTGTAATAAAGATGTTCAGAAACTTGAAACAAATTACAAATCTTGTATCCAGGACTAATAGCAGCATCATGTGGTGAGCTAGATGCAGTCCTGAATCCAGTTTCCATTCACCAAGACAACCAAAACATGTACTTGGAAAAGAACAAAACAAAGGTCGGTCCAAAAAAGTGTTTTGGTAATGAAACCAACAAGAAATCTCAGAAACTTCAGTGACCTCCATCACCATTGATCTGATTTTAAGACTCTGAACACCATAGAATTGGTTCAAGTTCCTTCTTTATGGGTTGTTTTTATTTCTCTTTATTTTGCATTTTCTCTGTTCAGTTGCAATAAGATCCAGTGTAACATAACTCTTCTTTTTTTTCTTGAAGAATCAAGAAACATCTTAAAAATCAAAGCTTTTGCCCTTTGATGCCAAATAAGTTCTCTGTTTAAGTTCTTCATATGAGATTTGATTTGTGAAGAAGTATCTGATAAATCTTGGAGAGACAAGATTTAATCAGGAGAAATACATGATAATCTGTCTTTGATCACTCACCCTTTTGCTTTTGAACCAAGTTCATATTTCTTTTCCATTTTGAGTATATTTCGTTACATCCAATTCAGATACACATTTTAATAACAATGAAGATTGATACATTACTTTGATTCGAGCATATATAGGGTACTAGTTGATTGTCATACCGAATAAACCAAAAACAACCTAACCAAACCCAAATTTTGAGAAATCAAACCGGCTAAACCGAAATTTAAAGATTATAATTTTCACTAAATATAAGTTATATACAAACAACACATTTAAGAGAACATTTTTTTAAACGGCTATTTTAGATAACATTAATTAAAACTGTTGATATTATTTTAATTTTTATTATAAATTTCTAACCAAACTTGAACCGAACCGAACCGAGAATCTCCAATTGAACTGAACCGCAAATTTGAATGAGATGCAAACCTACGGAAATGCGCGGAAATGTATTGAAGATGACGAAAGAAGCAAAAGAAAAAATGATGCCACAAACTGTAAATAACATAAAGTCGAGGGTTAATCGTGTAATTGACTACTAAAATTAGAAGGAATCGTACGGTGCCGTGGGCTTAGGAGCTTCGGCTGATATGTTTCTGTTAAAAACAAAACAGTGTGCGTTTAGTTTGGCGGTTGTTCTCCAACTTCCTCGTCTTCCTACAGAGTTTGCTTCCATCGTCTTCCTTTGTCTTTCTCTGTCTCTGTCTCTTATTATTTTTTTTATCTTTCTCCGATTTATTTTTTAATATATAGTTTTCATAATTAGTTTTGCGATAAATCAGGAGATTTAATAATTTGAAGACACTTTCCGCACAAGTTTCTTCCATCTCTGAATCTCGACCGATCGTTTGAGGTAAAATACTTAATTTCAATTGTTTTTATTTTATTGATGATAACTTTTTCCTGTGTTGCTTCTCATTATTCATTACTACATTAAATTTCCAAATTGGGCTACTTTATTTATATTTTAACTCCCTAATCAAATTTTTATGCCAATTAGGGGTAAGAAGATTTTGAGCTGTCGTTGTGATTGGTTTGATATCCTTAGTTTTCTTATCTCTTTATCTCTGAGGTGGAGTATCTCTTAAGCCTAGATATTTTGTTGGATTAGGGTTAGGGTTACTAACATCTTTTGTCTTCTCAGTTCTTATTACGGTCCCTTGGTTTTGTGGACTGGAGAGTGATTGGTTCCAATCCAATGGAGCCTTTCAGTGCTGCTCAGAACAAAGAGGTTAGATTTTAGTGTTCTCTTATATATCCTGCTTTAAGGTTTCTCGCATAGTTCGAAAGAATGATTCATCGAATTGATCGATTAAATCGCCTAGTTCCGAAGATGATGCATCGGTTAATCGCCTCGTGTAGTTAAGAATGATTCATCGGTTAATCGCCTAGTTCTAAGAATGATTCATCGCCGATTAATCGCCTCCCGTAGTTTTAAGAAGGATTCATCGACGATTAATTGCCTCCCGTAGTTTTAAGAAGGATTCATCGACGATTAATCGCCTCTTTTTAAGAATGATTCATCGATTAATTACCATCGTCGATTAATCGCCTCGTTTTAAGAAAGATTCATCGATTAATCACCTCGTTTTGGTTATCACTTTCGTGTATTACTTATTGCTACATATCTTACTAGAGATTAGATGTGGCAAATATTGAGATTGTAAATTAGGTTTTAATTGCATCATGATTTGGCCATAAATGACACTCCTTACTTGGCTGATTTACTAATGTTGATTCCGAGGCAATATTTTGTTATTTGGATTCATTTTCCCAGATTGAATCTTTAATTTTCACTTGATCTTTTTCCCTCAAGCATACCATTTTCCCTTTTTTGTTTCTTCAGGACAAGGACACTAATGTAGAATCTCCTAGTAGTCCGCGTCATCGGGAGGTAAGAACGACCTGATTCTTGGGGCGTAAACTTGGTATCATTAGTCTGATGTAGTCCATAAAGGCTTACAAATAAACCATTTTTAAACATATGGCAGATTCTTGCTAGATGGGATCCGGCTGATGCAAAGAGGCCAGACATTGGTGAAGCTCCAGTATTCCACCCTACATCAGAGGTACTAATTGTTCATCATCTTGTTTTCAGTTGTTGTGTTGATGTTTTTGTTCTTTCTTCATTTTTATTCTACATTTTGGTGTTTAGGAGTTTGAAGATACACTTGCTTACATAGAAAAGATACGTCCCTTAGCTGAATCATTTGGTATTTGTCGAATCGTGCCACCATCGAATTGGTCTCCTCCTTGTCGGCTTAAAGAGAAAAGTATATGGAAGGATACAAAGTTCCCAACCCGTATTCAGATTGTTGACCTGCTACAGAACAGAGAGCCCATGAAGAAGAAGAAGAAACCTAAGGGAAGGAAACGGAAACGTGGAAGAAACTCAAGAACCGTCGCCTCCAAGAAACGATATGGCTCTGTATCTCGTTCTGTTTCCTCACCCAAGACGACCGAAGAAGAGACATTTGGTTTCAACTCTGGTTCAGATTTCACTCTTGAGGACTTTGAGAAATACGCTCGATACTTCAAAGACTATTACTTTGGAAGAAAAGACAATGCTGGAGATACAGAATGGACTCCAACTGTTGAGGAGATCGAAGGAGAGTACTGGAGGATCATTGAGCAACCAACAGATGAAGTCGAGGTACATAAAATGTCTTTTTTCCTGGTCGTTATTAACCAGTTATATGCAAACCAAATTTTGTTTGTATCAGCGGTTTTGTTATTCGATGTCCCCTTGCAGGTATCTTATGGCGCTGATTTGGAGAACAGAGTACTTGGAAGTGGATTTTACAAGAGAGGGGACATGAAAACCGGAAGAAGCGATATGGATCCATACATAGCTTCAGGTTGGAACTTGAACAACCTACCGAGGCTCCCTGGCTCGTTACTGTCATTCGAGGATTCTCATATTTCTGGTGTTCTCGTGCCATGGTTGTACATTGGCATGTGCTTTTCAACGTTTTGTTGGGTAAGCTTACATATACTTTCACTGTCTAATCATTTTGTAATTCTGTTTCCTAATTCTCACCAAAATGTTTGATTGTAACAGCATGTCGAGGACAATCATCTATACTCACTGAACTATCATCACTTTGGCGAGCCAAAAGTATGGTACGGAGTTCCCGGAAGCCATGCAACTGGGCTAGAGAAGGCGATGAGAAAACATCTACCAGATTTGTTCGATGAACAACCTGATCTACTTCATGGACTGGTTACTCAGTTTTCTCCAAGCATTTTGAAAGATGAGGGAGTCCCGGTTTATCGTGCAGTTCAGAATGCAGGGGAGTATGTTCTAACATTCCCTAGAGCATATCATTCGGGATTCAACAGCGGATTCAACTGTGCAGAAGCGGTGAATGTGGCTCCTGTTGATTGGCTAGCTCATGGTCAAAATGCTGTGGAAATATATAGCCAAGAGAACCGGAAAGCTTCTTTGTCTCATGACAAAATTCTCCTTGGAGCAGCGTATGAAGCTGTTAAGTCCCTCTCAGCTTCTGGGGAAGATAATACAAAAAGGTTCAGCTGGAAGAGTTTCTGTGGGAAGGATGGTATTCTTACTAAGGCAATCGAGGCGCGGTTACGGATAGAAGAAAGAAGAATTGAGGCCCTTGGAAATGGTTTCAGCTTGAGAAAGATGGAAAAGGACTTTGATTCAAAAGGTGAAATGGAATGCATCTCTTGCTTTAGTGACTTGCATCTCTCTGCTACTGGCTGCAACAACTGCTCATCTTTCGAAGAATATGGTTGCACGAAACACGATATATGTTCATGTGAAGGGAACGACCGGTTCATCTATCTTCGTTACACCATAGATGAGTTAAGCTCGTTGATAAGAGCATTGGAAGGTGAATCAGATGATTTAAAAACTTGGGCTTCCAAAGTCGTTAAGGAAAAGCAGTTACATAAACAATCTTTTGATCTGAATCTTGACTTGGTATCGGATGGTGAGTGTAATACTTCTTCTGAGATATGTGATGATGCATCCATTATGGAATTTGCTGCTTATGTCGTCGAACCTATAAATCTTGGGTTCTTGGTCGTTGGAAAGCTTTGGTGTAACAAGGATGCTATATTTCCAAAAGGTGCATCTCTACCTATACCCTTTTTTTAGCTTAAAGAATATAATTGATTCATGTGTGGAAAGAGCTTAAGTTGGTGACGGTTTGTTTTTACAGGGTTTAAGAGTCGGGTTAAATTTTATAACATGCAAGATCCAATGAGAATGAGCTATTACGTCTCTGAGATTTTAGATGCCGGACTTATGGGTCCACTCTTCAGGGTAATAAAACTTTTTAAGGTTTTTATTAGTTCGTGTTACGCTTGGAAATTCTAAAACTTGCCTTACATTGTTGTTTATCGTTTCAGGTTACTTTGGAAGAATCTCAAGACGAGAGCTTCTCTTATGTGTCACCTCAGAAATGCTGGGAAATGGTGTTGCTTAGAGTTAAGGAAGAGATGATAAAACGCAGCAGCCAAGAACAAGATGTCCATATGTTGGAAACCATTGACGGGTTAAAAATGTTCGGTTTTCGCTCTCCGTTTATAGTTCAGGTATTTTTAAGTAATCGAGTCAACCTAGGTCTTGTTTGATATATACTCCGGTCCATGATCTTTTTCTTACACAGCTTATCATCTTCATCTACAGGCCACTGAGGCTCTTGACCCGAACCATCACCTAGTGCAGTATTGGAACCATAAGAATGAGACGGCTTGCTCCATGTCAAATTCTTCCCTGAGCTTAACCAAAACAAAACTTTTTGGGGTTGATTTGAATTGAACTTGAAGAGGAACACTCGTCAAGAAGGCGATGGAGAGACAATGTTAGATAGAACTCACCAATTTTCCTTGCCTTGATGATTTTTCTTAGAATTAATTCTTTCAGTATATTGTTTCTCTCATCAAGCCAAATTGTAACTTTTGTTGTTCGTAGATGAACTGCAGTATCATGACAGATATGTATCCTAATGTTGTTTGTTGAAATAAATGGTTTAAACAAAAATAAATAGGAGGGAAACTATTTTCCAAAACACTCATAAGTTGCATGATGTTTGACTTTGAAAGTTGCATGATGTTACATAAATTCCAAAACACCATTTTCCAAATCCTTTGTCAAAGTTTTCACTTTGATTTTTTTCCACTCTTGTTAATAATAATTCGATCGATTGTTGAGTAGTAGGACCCAATTTAGAAGTTTAGAAAACCTACCATCTAAAAATCTAATTTCCTTCAAGTTTGGATAAATTCGTTTCCAGTCTTTCTAAAATCAACTATTTTAAAAAATGATATTAACTAGAATTACCATGAAATTTTAAAAACAACTCATCCAACTTAAGCCATTCTCAAATACAATTATTTTATTAGATCAACATTGTGCTACACTCAAGACACATGTTTATTAAAATTTTCATAAAAAACTAGTCTTATATCATCGAGTACACATGATCATTATCGATATTACCGTGAGATTATTCCAACAAGGATAACTAATATTATAACGGCCTTAACCTATACGTTCACAGAGGTGGCGGCGTGAGGAACGGCAGGGGAGGAAACGTAAAGCCAGGGAGCCCAGGAAGAGATGGCGCCGGAGGTGATGTCGGAAACGGAAACGGAAATGGTAAACGTGGGATATTTCCAGGGAACGGAGAAGGTACAAACGGCGGAAATAGTGACGGTAACGGAGGAACACCGCCAAATGGCAAGCCCGGTGGAAACGGCAGGTTGTTAGCTTCGTCAGTAGTGGTGGTGACTACTTCATCACTCGGCTTCTGATCGTTGAGACGACGAGCAACGGTTGTTTCCGGCATGAGGTGGAAGATCAAGATTAGGGTTAGGGCTACAGTGGTGACTGATGAAGAAGCCATAGTTTGTTTGTTTTTTTGCTTATATGCTTTTGATGTCTAGTGACTAGTGTAAGCATATATAGGCCTATATTTCCATTAATTTATTTTTTTCACACCTAACGTATATCTTATTGATTCACAAACACAATTAATTGGTGCCAATATTTGTATAACATCGAATGTACCGAACTCGAAATTAAGTAGACTGATTTAACAACTACAAATGCATGTGTATCGCATGTTGGCTGTTGCATACTTTCCAATATAATATAGGTACGTTTAACATGAAAATTAGTTGGAAAAAATCAAATAGAGAAACATGAAAATTGACGAGGTAAATACTAATAAATATAGAGGCATGCACATGAACATGTGTCTCTCATGCAGTTTGGCTAGAGCTCATTGAATTCGTCTAATTATATCGAAACCAGCTGTATGTTTACAAATTTACATATTCTTCTTAATATTCACATATTAAGAAGTGTCCAACTAAACTTGATTGTTTTAAGTATATAATATAATATGTTTATGTAAGAAATATAGAGATATGATTCTAGGAAATATGAAGTGTTTAGAAGGCATAGTTGTGTGATTGAGTAGATGTACATGTAGTGAGGTCTAAAGAGAATAAGCAAGTGTGTGTGATTCTATATGCCTAAATGCATAAGTGACTGAGTGTGTATCATCGTCGAAATTGATCGTCTACTCTGTATGGGGAAGAAGGAAAGTTTTAAGTTTATAGAATTTACAACACAAACCTAGCAGCATTACAAAAACATGTTGAATTCCTAACATTCTTTTATATAGCTTTCCAGGCGTCCTCAATGTGTAAGTTTTCATCATGTCTAAGGCTCTGTGCTTCATAGCATATCTGCAGTAACAATCTGCAACAATTTCAAGAGATGGAAAGATAAGAGAGAGGAACACGCTTGTTCTCGCCAAGCTTTTAATTTGTAAACATACCAATAATCTCCATGTGAAGATGTAGTAAAAAGGACCTATACCTACCTGCTCATGAATCGGGAAGAAGTCGACCATTGTACATCTTTTCGAGTAGCTCACGAGCACCAGGCCTTCTGAGAAGACCTTTGTTGTTTGGTAAACCTGTACCTAAACAGACCGGACAAACAAGCTTACCACGACCTGTTTGCAATAGAAGCCATCAAATAATCAGGGGATTTCAAGTGTGTTACCAAACAAAACAAAACCAAAACAAATATTGGGAAAGAGACACAAACCGTAACAGTTTGGACATTCCGTAAACTCATAAACATCTTTGGCACGTTTTCGGTTGAGAGCTTTCCATTTTCCTGTGCCACCACACATATCACCTATATCATAACAAAACCGAAATATTAAAACCAAAAGGGCATCAGTAGTAAGCTCATGCAGCATTTTGCATCACATCAGACGGAAACAGAGAAATCAACATGACCTTCTAGCTTAGAAGGAGAATATACATTTAAGGATATGTTTGAATATCAGATTCCCAGAAACATACGTTTAAGGATATGTTTGAATATCAGATTCCCCGAAAAGAAACTTAAACATGAGACATGAACCTCCTGGTTTCTTGTCTAAAGCGGCTGCGCTTTGTACAGAGACAAAGGTGTAAGAATTGCTAATTAAAGCTGAAGCGGCTGCGCTTTGTACAGAGACAAAGGTGTAAGAATTGCTAATTAAAGCTGCGGATGCGCACACACATGCTGTCATCCACTGTCTCCGTGACACTGATTTCTGATCCCCCTGCACCCAAGAACACAAACAACTTAAAGTAACCACCACCTCACTATAAATTGATAGCAGAAATTACGACTAAGAACTAATGGCATACATAGCTATACATTGTGAACTAAAACTAGCTCAGTGAAAAGTAACAAAGACATACTAGTGTTGATTTACCAATTTGTAGCAGAAGAACTAAAGACTAAGACTTATAATTTTGTCTTAGCATAATAGTAGCACTAACACAGCTACTTAACTAGAAAATGTGACCAATCAACTAGCTGATTTCAAGGTAAGCTATTAGTAGTCACCAAATCAAATAATAACAGAGATTCAAAACGATAAATTGGAAACTTTTGCAGCTGATACAAGTGCTTGGAATAAGAAAAAGATACGGACTTTAAGACACAGAACCAACAAGAATGTTTCTCTTCTAAGAAGGCCAGCTTATATTATTAACCTGGGCTTTTTGGGTAGTCTCCGAGGAAGAATCCAAATCGTTCGAATCGAAGCTCTGATTGTCCGGGCATGATTGCGCAAGAACACGAACTCGATTCCTGTTTGGTGCAGCTAACAGAAACGATGCGGATAAGAAAGAGGATGATATCAACAATGTCGAAAAGGAATAGATAGAGAGATAGAGATGTTACAGAGAAACGGCGTAGGGAGTGCGAAGAGATGAGATGATGATGCCGCCATTTTTCAGTCTGCGGTCATAATTTTACTGGCGAACCAGACCCAAACCATATAGGATGTTTCTGGTATTTACGTTTTGGTACACATTGTTTTGTTATTTTCGCAGATTGGTACATTTTTTAAATTTTATATTTCAATCCATTTTTATTTGAACATAGAGTCTGTCTTAAAAGGCTGCCAGCCCGTTAGGCCTGCTCCACTTCGGTCCCTTAAGACTATCAACATTGGTTTTAAAGTTACAAGTACAACACCCTTCTTTTAACTTTTAACATTCCACATCACAATTCAACACCTATTTAATTTTTATCTTCTACAATGGTTTTGTTTAAAAAAACTACAACACCCTACCCTACCATTCTTATTTAATATTTTTTATTTTCTTTGTCTTTGTGTTTCTATATCACAAATTATTAAGTTACAATTAATTATCCAAAAAAATAGAGATTTATGGATGATAACAGAATAAGTGTAGTAAGAAGATGGTTTTTTTATGTGTGTCTGAAATGAATGAAACAAGTGTCTATTTATAGAGCATGAAAAATGATAAATTTTGATATAAAATTTATATATATATATATATATAAAATTATAATTATAATGAGATAATTGATTTTAAATAATGGAAGGAAAAAAAAATCTAAAATCTAAACAGCCAATTAATATTAGCCACGTGTCCAGATATTATCTTTGTAAAAAAAAAAAACTGAGCAGACCCTTTTTTTCTGAACCAATGAAAATTAACCATGTCAGTGAGAATACACTCATTTTTCGTTTTCACGGGTGTTGATATTCTTCAACAACATTTTTGCCACAACATTTTTTTTTTTTTTTACAACAAACCATTGTATTTGTTTACACAGTTGAAAAATTATTTAAGCTGTTGAAAAAGAATCCATTGTAAGTAGTCTAACAGATTTAAAGAGTTATTAGGCTCTGATAATTTCAATATTCAGTTTAAAATGATAATTTTTGCATTTTCATAATGAATTTTTCTATCACATTTTCAATACAAACAAATGTAATTGTTCAGGTGGTGATGTTTATTAGTCTTTTGACTTATGGTCGTCTTTGCAACTTGCTTGTATAATTCAAGTTTAAAATATGAAAATAGTTTAATAGTGATTGTGTACATATGATAAATAAATCTATAGACCTGAGGAATATATGGTCTCGAGATCTAATGAAGTCAATGTGCATGGAACTGTCGGTTGCTTTTCTTGTCCAAGAAGATGTTGTTGCTAACTTGTCTAATGTAATGAAGTCAACATCGTTTCTAGCCAAATTTATTTTTCTAAATACAAAAGGTCTACTATTTATATCTCTATTATCTGAACTACCTAAAAATCATTAATAAGAATGCTTAGAATTTTTTTTCTTTTAATATTTACAAATATCATAACTAACAAAAGTAGATTTTACAAAATGTTTTTAAAATTATGATTGAATAACAGAAAATTTATCATTTTAACACAAACCATTTCATTTTAAAAGTACTCCATATGCAACGAGTATTTTGTTTCGCTTATCATTAACATTTTCCATAAATCATAAATATGTTTATGTTGGTCAAGTGGTAGTTAAGTTTTGGCCAAAAAATGAAAGCCACGTAGAGACTTTTGCCGACATGTCAGCAGAGAGTTCGTCGGTAGGCACAGCTGCCGGAGCTCCCTGGTTCCAATCACCGCGTCCCTTATAATATTTGTTGCAATCTCATTCGCTGCTTCTAAAATTCTCAGTAAAGTAACCATTTGATTCAACTTTATAGCTCTTCTCTCTCTCTCTCTCTCTCTCTTTTGTCTCGTGTTCCCTTCGCTCGCTTCCACCGTCAAGACCGCTCAATTTTGCTTTTACTCATTTCTACGTCGTTCTCTCCTTCTCCACTTGGAATTGAGAAGAGAACCCACCAGAAAGTTTGAGTCTTTATCTCTCTCTATCAGGTACGTCTCTCTCTGATTGATAATGGCGTTTTTGTTGTGAATAATCTTTAAGCTTTCTTGTTCTTCCGTTTCTGCTTCTTGGTCAAGTCCAGATTCTACAACATTTTGGCTTTCTTGAGCTTTCTCTTTTGTTTCCTCATGTTCAGGCTGAAACTGAACTAGGCCGTGTACTTTCAGAATCAAAATGCTGAATTTGGGTAGAGCAAGGATGGGGAGGCAAAACAGATCTATGTCTTTTGAAGGTACAGAGAGGAACAGCTTTTAGACTTTTATAACAAAATTCTGATTTCTTACTGTTTTTTTGTCTGAAGCATATTTAGAAGTAGACATCAGTGGTTGGTAAGATAATATAGATATTTTATGTTTTCTGGGGGTTTGTTAGCTCTAAAGTCAGAAGCTTTTGTTCTGTTTCTTATTTGGATTCAAAATTTCACACATGTTGATGATTTTTGGAGTGTAGGATTGGATTTAGCAGACCCAAAGAAGAACAACAATTACATGGGGAAGATTGTTTTGGTCATGACACTTACAGCAATGTGTATTCTCTTGCTCAAGCAATCCCCAACCTTTAATACCCCGAGCGTGGTATTACTTCTTCGTATAATGTTTTTGAGACATTTTTGAAGTAGTAATGTTTTGAGTGGTTGTACGTTTTTTCCATCTTTCAGTTTTCTCGACATGAACCAGGAATTACACATGTTCTAGTCACTGGTGGTGCAGGGTATATCGGGTCACACACAGCTTTACGTCTTCTAAAAGATTCATACCGTGTCACCATTGTGGTATACATCTTCATTGCCTTACATAGATTCATGCTTCTCCTGTTGTATCTAAGTAAAGAAAGTAAATCTTTTTGTGTTTTGGCAGGACAATCTATCTCGAGGGAACCTCGGTGCAATCAAGATTTTGCAACAACTGTTTCCGGAACCTGGAAGGCTTCAATTCATTTATGCTGATCTTGGAGATGCAAAAGCTGTATGATCCTCTAGATATAAGACCTCAAACAAGAAATAGCAAGCTTTTTTGTGTGTTTCTTGATAAGAAATTCTTTCAGGTTAACAAAATATTTTCTGAAAACGCATTTGACGCTGTGATGCATTTCGCGGCTGTTGCTTATGTTGGAGAAAGCACACAATTTCCTCTCAAGTGAGTATCTTAATCCTTCTCAAAAATATTTTACCGTTGCTATAAAAGATTGATGAGAATAATATATAGTCATTTGCAGGTATTATCACAATATTACATCGAACACATTGGTAGTTTTAGAGACAATGGCTGCTTATGGTGTGAAGACTTTGATATATTCAAGCACATGTGCTACTTATGGAGAGCCTGAGAAGATGCCAATAACAGAGGAAACTCCTCAGGTTCCAATCAATCCATATGGAAAGGCTAAGAAGATGGCAGAAGATATCATCTTAGATTTCTCCAAGAATTCTAATATGGCAGTTATGATCCGGAGGTTGTTAGTTAATTCTGGTATGTGTGTCTGTGTGGCCTCTTTCTCTTTCTTTGAAGTTGAGTTTCATCTTTCGGTTTTTCAGATATTTCAATGTGATTGGGTCTGATCCTGAGGGCAGACTAGGTGAAGCTCCAAGACCTGAACTCAGAGAGCATGGACGAATCTCTGGTGCTTGCTTTGACGCTGCACGAGGCATCATTCCCGGGCTGCAGGTATTTATCGCGCTCTTTTCTTTGCGTAATCATCACATAGAATCTCTGTTTGTTTATTTGGTTTTTATCGGCAGATTAAAGGAACAGACTACAAGACTGTTGATGGGACTTGTGTACGTGATTACATTGATGTCACCGACTTGGATGATGCTCATGTTAAAGCTCTTGAAAAGGCGAAACCCCGCAAAGTTGGAATCTTTAATGTTGGTACCGGGAAAGGTATAAAACAGAGTTTCTGGCCAAAATTTTAGGATAGTGAATTGAATGGATTTTATAGAATGTGGTATTAATTGTTGTGGAAGCAGGTAGCACGGTGAAGGAGTTTGTGGAAGCATGCAAAAAGGCGACTGGAGTTGATATAAAAGTTGATTACTTAGAAAGACGGGCAGGAGATTATGCCGAGGTTTACAGCGACCCAAGTAAGATCAGAGAAGAGCTGAATTGGACAGCTAAGCACACAAATCTTCAAGAAAGTTTAAAGACAGCATGGAGATGGCAAAAGCTTCATCACAATGGCTATGGATCTTCTTCCTTGGTTTCTGCATAATGACCTTTATGCATGGATTGCACTTCAAGGACTCCTTCATTGGTAGACGATAGCTAGATATTAGAGTCTTGATTCTAGATGGTAGTGAAGGTAGTAGAAGATGATGGATTTATTATTAGTAAAATAGTATTCATATCCATATATAGTGATTATATATGAGATTATTGATTAATAAAATATAGTCTATATCAATCACATATTTTATTGTCAAAATCCTGAACGGAAGACATGTTGCTTCTTTGTGTAAAAGTGAAAGTCATTGGTTGAAAAATTTGAAGTAATATATCTTTCTAAGTGAGAAGCTTTTGTTTTGTTTTGGTATTTCTAATCTGGATTCAGTTCATCAAATGGTGATTCATCGATCTCATTGATGACAAGCTTAATTAAAACACACAAAAATTCCAAGAACAGATCAAAACAAAACGTTATCGAATCTAAAGAAGAAGACATTATCGATATGAATAGAGAACAAACCTGATAGCTACGGAGGGCGATGTAAGATCGGCATAAGAATCCAAGTTCTTTTGAATCAACACCCTAAATTTGATTTGGGCCTCGTGCGGCAAAATAACGAATCAGGTTCTTTGATTTTGGGCTTTTTATATTCAGTTAAAAGTGTTATGAGAATCGATCAGAAACTTGAACAATTTTAAGCATACTCGAAATCATATCAGACGTGGTTGAATTAGTGTACTACAGTTGGTTGAACAACGAGCTAATTTATACAATTAAATTCACATATATTATATAGCTAAATTAAGATTACTCAGATTTAAATTATCATGTTATATATACTGTATACATGTATGAGGAAGACTATTGTTTCTTGTATGAACTTGAGGAACACTTAAAGAGCATGGTCGATTTTACGTAAAGTCAATATTCATTTCACATGTGAAAAGAAGTCCTCGTGCTACACAACCCAATAACATAAATCAATACTATAGTATATCTCAAAAAAATATTAACCTCTAAAGTCTAAATGCTAAATCAACCCAATGACATCTTACAATTCTCTGTGTAATGGTTTTAGCTGCATTAGAATAAGATAAGATGTGTTTACGGTCATCACAGACATTAATTACATGCACCTTTTAAATGTAAACTGTATCTTCTTGGAATAACCTCCTCTAATTTAGTTCTTACTTCAGTCATGCAAAAAACAAATACTGATTTTACGATTTGTAATCCCTAATCCAAAGGCTTGCTCACTTCTAAAAGTAATCATATGTTTCAAATGCTTCTTTTAAATATTGTGTCTAAACAAACGTTGCCAATCGAAAACACATGTTTCGTGGTTACCTGTCCAAATTCTATTGTTTATCATTCTTTGTCAATAAACTCTTAATTAATTTTATATATATATATATATATATATATATATATATATTATTGGATAATAGATATCAATATCATCACTATTATTATTATTAATTATAGTAATCTACATGCGTCTCCGTAGAACGAGGGAGGCATGACTTATTTTGTTTTACTTTTTGCACCGTCTGGTCTAATTATTGTAGTAAACAATGTATTAATTTAATTCGCGTTTCGTATTAAAATGAATCTGCGTGGCCATTAGAGACGAGGCCTGCTTCATATCATATGGGTCGTGATTGTTTTCTTTTTCTTCTTTATCTCATTTTGATAAAATATCTTAAGAAGCCAAATGGGAAGTGAGAGAACTACAGTCTACAATCTACATAGAAAAGAAAGGTTGAACAAAGATATTTTTTACTTCCATCTAAAAAACAATATATATATATATATTAGAGATATATATTAGAGAAATATATATATACTTTTGTAAAATATAGAGGATATAATATATATATATATATATAATGAAATAGCAAAAACGTGACTCTATACTTAAAAGAAATACTTTTATAAAAAAAATGTAATTTTACTTTTTGGTATAAAATCATCATTTTCATCCAAATAGATGACAGATCGATCACTGAGTGAAGCAGTGTTATATAAAGGGCAGTTTTTTTTTACTAAGAACTCGAGTTGTTGGAGACGGTTTTAACTTTCAGTCCACTTATAAACTTGATCCAACCTCCAAAATTTCCTAGGAAAGTGAAATTTTGGGTTTTATTTGTCGTATATTGCATAAATCTGTGTGTATATTAATACGTCGATTTTGTAACTGTTCAATACACGCAAACTGACTCGATATATAATTTGATAATGTTGAAATTAAAGGAAACAAAAAAAAAGAGAATAATATGGGATAAAAAATATAAAGTAGTGATGAGGTTGTAATGCACGAACGTGGATCTAAGTGTTTGTCATGAAGCCGACCATTTTTTCACATGCCAAATCTAGGCATTTCGATATGTTTTTGATCCTTTTAAGAAAATAAATGTTGATTTTGTTTTTGGGTGGTTAATTTCCACTTTAAGTTTTCTATTTAACACCAAATATATTGGTAACATACTAACATTGTACCAACCTATATAACCATAGCCAACGATGAAGTTCTTATTTTTCTCGTCATATTCTCTTCTTTGAAACATGCAAATTTTAATTTCTATGAAGCAACTTACATGGCCGGTGTGGTTATTTTATAAGTGTTTTGGGTAATATTATATGAACATCAAGATAGTTAAATGCGGTGACAAAAAGTGGCGACAAAAACTAGATCATATGAACACTATTTTTTTTTTTTGAATACCAGAAAGTTCTATACCAAAACACGTACTCTTTCTAGATCCGAAACCACAACATGTAATATGAACATCATTTTTATTATCATAATGAATGTATAAGATTTATAATTTCTTTTTAATTACATATACCATGCATATTTGAATATGGTAGTGACACACTGTGATGGATTTGATGAATCTGGTATCAACACAACAATCAAAATTACCACAAACTAGTGCATTGCACACTTACATGATGTCCTGATCGAGAGGGACTTATATTATTAAATGAGTGGCTTAGCTTAGCACATTATATATATATATATATATATATATATATTCCTTCTGTATCAAAAAGATTGATTTTAGATTGATTTTATAGAGTTTTCACACTAATTAAGAAATACATTTAATGTTTAGTTATAAATGCACTATTTAGTCATACCAAACCATTTTTCATAGCTATCAACCAATAGTAATTTATCAAATTTTAAAATTCTCAATTAATGATTCTTGAAATTCACAATTTATTAACATTAATTGATAAAAATTTACAGAAAATCAATCTTTTTTTATACAAAAATAAAACCTCAAAAATCATTCTTTATGATACGGAGGGAGTATATATTTTTAAGAAATGGGTTATTTTAATTTGACCAATAATATTCTTGCAGCTAGTTTGGGAACTCTTATTTAATGTAATCAGCACACAAAAATGTTTGTTGTTAACCAATAACCAGCTAGCTAACAAAAAAATAACCAAGTAGGTGAGTTACAATATTTTATTAGTATGGGCATTTATTCAAAGAATAATTATGAATTAGATTATAAATAAATAAACTAATTAATTAAGTCCATCATGCATAAAAACACATGCTAATACCATGTGAGGAATTTATTACCCATGATACTACTTATTCTTCAGTTTATTTTTAATCGGTACCATACATGGAAATTCATATATATGTGATAGACAAATATGTTTTCAAGAAATTTGGTGTAAATAGTATATAAAAATGTAAAGATTAGTATATAAATATATAGTTGGCGACAATATGGCAAATCTAGAATGAGATAACTGCAAACGTATAATTAGTTGGCACCAATATTAAATCAATCTACAGCCATATATACACCAACTGAGAATGTTTTTTTTTTTTTAAAAAACCAACTCAGATTTGAATATATTATAAATTATGTGTTCGTATATTTTGAAGAGTCGTTATTCTACCAGTCCTGGCCACTTACATTACATCAACTGTCTTTTTATGTAAAAAATTATATTTGTTTTATAAGTTTGTTTGGTTTGATTATGTCTAAACAATTATATTTGTTTTGCAAATCTATAACCGAGACGCAGACGATGAGTTGAGAAAAGTCTTCTATCCCCAAACAAGATCGTTCATGATAACGCACTTTTTTAAAAAATTCTAACTAATTATAAATAGAAAATAAACAAATAACGTAATAATAATTTGAAGAAGTGATGTTAATATTCTTTTGGCACAAATTTGAGAATGTCAAAAATTAATTTCAATTTTTGCCGAAATTCACACAAAAAGTTCCCAAACTATATTTAACTTTTATCAACATGGAAGTTTGGTCACGTACCGGGTCGGTCTTATACTAATCAATTAATTCTTCAACTAGATTTTAACCCGTGGTATACCGCGGAATGATTTAATTTTAAAGTTAGTATAAAAATATATTGTAAATTGTATCGCCTTATAACATATTTATTTATATTATAGTTTACAATTATTATTAAGTAACGGTATACCACGAGTCCACTAGATAATTATTAATAAACTGAAGATTTAACCCGTATTAAAGCGGTATATAAATATTGATTCAAATTCATCCGCCATATAAATCCTTTCCAAAATATAACCCGTTCCGTAATTTCTTAACCCGTCTCGTGATTTGTTTTTATTTTAAAATTTAATGATTATTTATTGTATATGAAAGTTTACAAATCATATCATTTTCTAAAACATCTATATTTTAATAAACTAAAGATTTAATATGTATTAAAGTGGTATGTTTTATGATATTTTTAAATTTTATAAATATTGTTATTAAGTAACATTATAACACGGGACAATTTTTGGTTTTATACAATCTTTTCTAAATGAGACTGATTTAATATGTCTAATATTTGTGGTATTAAAAAAATAAGGATTTAATCCGTATTGAAGCGGTGAATTAATGATATTTTAATCTTTTTTATTATGTTGATTCAAAAATCCGTCCCGCCAAACCCGTCCGGCCAAAAAACTCATTTATCTTATTAATGTTCTTATTTATGATATGATTCTGAATCATTGTCTAAATATTTTAATCGATGTAGAACGTTGAACACACATTTTCGTCAATTGGATAATATATGTCCGTTTTTAAAATTACGTATATGCAGAAAAAATTGATTTTTTTTTACTATGTATTATATGATGATTCAAAACAGTTAAAAACAAATCAAACAAAGATGATAAGAGAATCATAATTATAAATCTTAATCAAATCTTGTAAATATCTAAATTATTAAATATGGAATATCCAGTGTATGAGTTGGATTAAATATAACCCGACCCAACAAATTTTTTTGTCAATGATTTTTTGAAACGGGTCGGATATTCAAATAATCCGGATACATTTTTACCTACCAGTCACCAAAGTTACTGTAAAAATACTAATATAGATAGATATTTACTCTGTTATTATACTTTTTTCTGATAATACCTTATTAGATTTTTAAGATAATCATATTAAATTACATTTTGTCATTTACGACTCTTCGACAGAAACGAATTCCTCGTCGTCTTTCATCTTTCCCGGTATAATTATATGCAAGCTAGTGATTTCTTCTTGATTAGTTAGTTAGCCCATAATCCTCTCCAATTAGATTTTTAAATATAATTTTAGTTATGGAGCATATAATAATCACTTAAATTTATTTATAATAAATTGCTTCTCTCTCTTTATTTAGGCACTAAATGGTAACATCAAAAATATATTCAGCCGAATTCAGCCAGATTCAGCAATTTCCCAGTCACCATTTGCATAAAACTAAATTCAGCTCAATTCAGTCAAATTCAGCAATTTTCAAAACTAACAGATATGTAGATATATTTATTTCTAGTAAAAATTCATATAATAAAGAATACACAACTCGAATTAAAATATTTTGGATATGAGAAATCACAAATCAAATTTATATTTTAAAATAAGTCATACTATACAGATACAAATACGATATTGAATCATTCAGACACATAAAATCACTACCAGAATAGACAAGAGACGAATTTATGTTCGAATAATTATAGATATTTGTGGATAATTTTAATAACTTTAAGCTAATCTAAAATAAATTTTTAAAATTCGCAAAAAACAACTCATACATATGCTAAAATATTTTTTAAATATCAAAGTTTTGATAATTCTATTAATCATTCTCGTCATATTATTGATTAAACTACTAGATGACAATAAATAATATAGATAAAATACTCCAATTTTGCTAACCAATATATTATTTATATTAGTATTAGTTTTAGATAATTTTAGTACTTATTTATTAATATAAGAGTTACTTAGACAATTAGATAATTTTATCTATTTTATTTAGATATTTCTTAGTTATTCTACTGATTAAGATTCATAATTATTTGACGATATTTTTCAATTTAAGTCTTAATTATTTTGACAGATTTTACTAAAAATCACAAAAAAAATTCAGCTAGATTCAGCAGATACCATTTAGAAATGTAAAAATTCAGCTAGATTTAGCTAAAAATCACTAAAAATTCAGCCAGATTTCGCAATTCAGCCGGATTCAGCCAGATTCCTTGGTTACCATTTAGACCCTTATTTTTTATGGAGTAAGAACTAATCAAAACTGCTTTATTTCTTATTTTTCTAGTCACCTGTAATTATGAAATGACCAGCAAAATGCAAGTCAACGGTAGTTGACTTGAACAATGCCAATACTCAATATCAGTAACGGATAACTTCTTCTGTTATATCTAGCTTAAGTCTATTAAAGATAAACGAAATAAATAAGAAAACAAAATTGGATCATAAATTATGAAATTATAAACCATTAATACATATATAATACAGCTATTATATATGGTTGGGGACAGAAAAAAATATACAAAAGAAATTCTCATATGATTCACTTTAATATAATAAAAAAAATACTTGTATACCTAATTCAAATAAATAAACAAATTCACATATAGACAAACTGATTTTTTGGTACTCAAGACAACAGAAAATTGAGAGGCAAATAATATACATTAAAAGACAACAGAAAAATGTATTTCAGAATGTTACGTGGCCCAATGACATTGGATTAAAAATGAAACGTACTCCGATAAATGCGGCTCTTTGCCGATCTCTTTACTTCCCAATCACTTGTTTTTTTTTTGTCTCTCAAGTGCAGCATCTCATTATATGCCCTTTCACATTATAATGATATACTAATATAGATAAAAAGTACAAGACTTGGCCGTATATATCTCGATCCATGAAATTATATTTTTAAATTATATCACTTCACCTCCTTAAGATATACTTATTGTTTATTAATCAGTTCATTATATATAAAGAGTACATAATCTGATCTCCCTCTCTCTCTAACTTGGAGAAGTTGTCGAAGATATTCTCATTCTGAAAAGTCAGCGTCCCTGTCTCGTTTCATCAACCATTCATCTTCTTTTTCAGCAACAAATTCACAAATTTTCCCCAAGTAAATAATCCAACATCACTGATCACCCTGTTCTGAAATAACTACAAAACGATCGAGAATTATAATAAGACTTCTCTCACGGATTCCTAATCATTTTTTCTATTTCTTTTTATTATTTTTGGAGTTTGTAAATCTTCCACTGTGTATAAATCTCATATATACATATAAACACGCATCATACTATCATAGGTATAGTATATATTATGTGCAGCGTCTTTGAGTTACTAGACATGGACAACTTCCAAGGAGATCTAACAGACGTTGTACGAGGAATCGGATCAGGACACATGTCATCATCCCCTGGACCACCGGAAGGTCCATCTCCGAGCAGCTTGTCTCCGCCGCCAACATCAGATCTCCACGTGGATTTCCCCTCCGCCGCTGCTTCTACCTACTGTCTAACAAATCCCTTCGGAGACCCGTTCGTAAGCATGACAGACCCTCTCATCCACCTCCCGGCCAACTCCGGCTACTTATCCGGCGCCGGAGATAACAAAAGCAACAACAGTTTTGCAATCTTTCCAAAGGTTTTTGAGGATGATCATATCAAGAGTCAATGCAGTGGCTTCCCAAGAATCAGGATCACGCAAAGTAACATCATCCACGATGCCTCCACGTGTAATTCTCCGGCCATAGCCTCCGCCGCCGCCGCAGCAGCTTCGCCGTGGGGGATGATCAACGTTGATACCACTAACAGTCCAAGAAACTGTTTACTGGTCGATAATAATAACAACACGTCATCATCCTCACAGATTCAGATCTCTTCTTTCCCTCGGAATCTCGGCATAAAGAGAAGGTAAGTTTATTAAAATTCGATCTACGTGATTTAATAATAATTTTTCCCTTCTTGAGTAAATGAGATCATTTAATGTTAGGTTCATGATAAAATATAATTTTTTTTTTTGGTGAAATCATGATAAAATATAATAACACCATGTCATTAATTATGAGTATTTCTCTTTGGAGAGTTTTCATTTATTAACGAATTACATACTACCTTTTTTCTTTCAGATTTTCATATTTGAACACTTGATTAGGTTACTCGCCGTTCTATCTTTTTGAAAATTAAGAAATGAAACAAAACAAAAAAAACTACTGGAAATAGCGCTAGGGTTTCGTTTTGTGTATGTATATGCAACCCTTTATAAAAAAAATTGAATTCTTACAATCGTCTTTTTCGGTTGTTCAATTTTAATTCTGTCGTTTTCCTTTGTTAAACTTCTTATTTTCCTTTTTTTTTTTCTATATAAATGTTATTATACTTTTATATGATTTTGTTTGTATACATCTTTATCTTTCAAATTTGAAAAAGGGTATACGCAGTAGGATATGTATGAAGTGTAAACATCATAAAAAAACGAACATCGACAATGCACCACATATCTAAAACCGAACTCCTCATGTCCCACACTAACATTGATCACAAAATTAGCTTTACATTACAACAATTAAACGTATACTCAGATAATATATATTGACGGTTGATTCAGGAAGAGCCAGGCAAAGAAAGTGGTGTGCCTACCGGCTCCAGCCGCTATGAATAGCCGGTCCAGTGGAGAAGTTGTTCCGTCTGATCTATGGGCTTGGCGAAAATACGGTCAAAAACCCATCAAAGGTTCTCCTTATCCAAGGTACACATATACATATGCTAATGTATTTATATATAACCCTATGCCTGTGACTCTGTTTAATTAAACATAATACAAACATAGTATTTATATAGATATAGAATAGAAGTGTGTTCTTTCAATAAGGAATGTTTTCTAACAACTTGAAAATTGCTGTATTATAATTGAAACGTATATGTTACTGGAAAAGTGAATTTTTGTAAGACGAAAAAGTAGTTTTTTATTTATCAACGATTGAAAAGAAAAATCACATTTAAGTAGGATCTACAACCATGCTTTTCCCTTCATCACAAACAAATATTGCAGGTGCAATCATGAGCATGGAACTATAAAGTATAAAGTTCCTATAATTTTCTACGGCGCACATTAAGCCCTTTATATGCCTTATTGTGACGTTTGATGTAAACTTATCTTATAATCATAATACATATTCCATCAGAAAAGCTAAGATATCATAAAGGTTTGTTTGTTATTCCTTGATCAATTGTGCGTAAGTGATCAACTGGGCAGCTACTTCTCATTTGTTACACATGTTTACCTAAAATTAATATGGTTAATTAAGTCTTTGATAGTTACTTGAATTAGGATTAATTATTTGTTTCTCAGGGGTTACTACAGATGTAGCAGCTCAAAAGGTTGTTCAGCTAGGAAACAAGTCGAACGTAGCCGCACTGATCCAAACATGTTAGTCATTACTTACACCTCTGAGCATAACCATCCATGGCCTACTCAACGCAACGCTCTCGCCGGCTCCACTCGTTCCTCCTCCTCCTCCTCCTCTTTAAACCCTTCTTCCAAATCCTCAACCGCAGCCGCCACTAGTACTTCTCCCTCATCCAGAGTTTCCCACGACAACAATACCAAAAACGAACCAAATAATTCCCACTTTCCTTCCTCTTCCACTCTTCCTCCTTATGTTGCCGCCGCAGTTAAGGAGGAGAACTTGGAAGAGCGTCAGGAAAATATGGAGTTCGATTATAATGACGTTGAAGATACATATAGACCGGAGTTGTTGCGAGAGTTTCAACATCAGCCGGAGGATTTCTTCGCCGATCTCGACGAGCTTGAGGGAGATTCTTTGACCAAAACGACGATTCCAGACGTTTTTAGTGATTTCTTTGACTCCTCCTCCTCCTCAAGGTCGTTATAAACATTCTTGTTAATGTACTCCTCCTCAAGGTCGTTATAAACATTCTTGTTAATGTATACATATTACATAGATATAAAATTATTCATGTAATTCGTTTGAGCCTATGAAGGGTAACCTCGTTAATTATTTACAGTACGTTTATCCATCTATAGTTAAAAGTTAAAAGTTAAAACATAAACCCCACTGTTTTTTGCGAGCTATGCGTGTTTTATTAAAGACTTAATTTCAATAAAAATTAATTTTTACATAATCAGAGTATTTTGGATCGAAACTTAAACTAATTTCCAAGGCATGTTAAAAACGAATTTATTTTTGGTTGGAAATGAAACATTATTTTACAAAGTTGACAAAAATTAATTGAAACTGTAATGGACAAATTAAAATTCAAAACATGATTTTTACAAGTCCTTAAATTCTAACTAGATACAATAAACTTAAATTTAAGAGGCGTAGATATTATCGTTGCGATTAAAGCTGTGCAAGCTTAGTAGTTCAATACTATGATCAAAATAACTATATGTATATATACATATATATATATGGATATAAGAAAATAGATAGTAGTAGTGAATGGTAATAATAATTTATCTTTTTGTTAAGGGATTAATTTTCTCTGTTTGACCATGCATGTGGATAATCTCGGAAGACAGGAAGAAAGCCCTAGTTTCATGGCTTTTCTTACGGGCCGAATTAAATGAGGATCCCATAATAATAGTTATCATCACATTGATAGTATAAAAAGGATTCAATCCAGTCCCAGGCGTACCCGGGGCTAATCTGTTCTCCGTATTTAAACAGACGTAACAAAACTCTTTATTTTCTAAAATAAAATCTGTTTATCAAAGCGCTTTTCCGATTGCTCAAGACATCTCTTTTCAAAATCCATAATAGAGTCCGACCACAGCGACCGAATTGATTATCTTCATGCATAAGTATACTGGATTACCTAGTATAAAAGATTGAAGTGTCTTTACTCATTCTGATTGGTAACTATGAATATGATGTTTGTATAATTTATTTGAGAAAGTAAACAAAAAAACAAATCTGCCCCGTTAAACAGAGCCGCCTAAACTATTTGTACAATACATTTTTTTGTTTAACGTGAATCTTATCTTATACCTTGCTGCTTCCTTGCTATATTCATGCGAATATGCGATACAGTCTTACAGAATAGAAAAATTAATGTTATTGACATATAGTTTTTTATATCAATAAATATTTGTCCATATAGTCTTGAACTGATCTGACTATTACGTCCAGCGTTCATGGTTTACCGTTAACTGAATTTGTGTGTAAATCATTTACAGTGGCATGTTAAAGAAAAAAGGAGCAAATAAAACTGTAAAATCAAAACCTATATACTATTAGAAGAGAAAAAATTCTAATACCCAATTTATCACAACTTTTTTACCAGGTCTGTATCCACCCACACAGACCTTATGTAATTAAAATAACAATTGAACAATCACCGCTAGGAAAGGGTTTTGACTGGTGGACCAAAGTAAACATAATGGAAAAGAAACAAAAAAAATTATTTTTATTCCATAGGGAAAGAAAATCAACTTGTTTAAATTTCCATTATTTTTACGGTTTTTCTTACTGTTGCAAAAAATTGATCATATGGGATTACGAAAGTATGTGGGATCTCAACTTTTGATCAAAAGTATATTGTAAATAGTGACCTTAAGTTTTGTCAAATCCATCGGTCTTTGATTGATTGAAAGAAAAGGTGCATCACAACTAATTTTTATTTAATTTTATAAAGAAAAGGTTTGATTGATGAGAGGGATGGAGAAAAAGAACAGTCGAATATTACACGTTTAATTAGAGTTATTTACATAAAAGGCATTTGTCTTAGCTATTTCTTTCATTATAGATACTTGTTTTGTACCTTTCGAAAACAGGCACTCTGCCCACGCGAAAAGTCATCCCTGTCCTCAGCCAAACGACGTCAGTGTTCACTGTAAATAACCAGTTATTTTATTCTGCAAGGGTTTACTGTTGGTGAATAGTAGTGTACCGGTCTCCAAATTAGTTTATTCACAATCGATTTTTCCACATTCGAATCGGAGTTGGAGGAAATAAATATGGTGGCGACGAGAAGTAGCCGGCTTCGGGAAGCTGAAGTCACCTCGGATCCGAGTCGGGAAAGTCCAACAGTAGGCCGTAGATCTGGTTGGCGACACATTGTGGATGCGGAGGAAAGGATAATTTCGCCCGCCATAAGAAACCGACATAGTTCTGTTGGGAACAAGAGACGTAGGCGGGAAGGCCATTGGCGGTACCAAAATTCGGAATGCCGCTTGAAACGGAGATGCGTTTCGCCAGTCGCAGGTCAAACTTGATTTAATCTTTGCAGTTCTTATGATTGCAACCCTCGCTTACATACGGGGAAGCATATTCTTGTTTGCTCGTTGTATTGTTCGTATTTTAGTGCATAATTAGCTAGTTGTAGGTGTATCGTTGGTGAATGTGGATTCTGCAGAGTCAGATGGTATGCTGTGCAATTCCCTCATTTTTAGTCCTCTTGTAACATCCACTATATTTGTCCCAAAATGTTCTTACATCTCGCTATTACTCTCTCAATGTTTGTTGTCAATGGCTACCAGATAGATCTTCTAATGACGGGCACGAAAGTGAGTCAAGTATGTCTGTCAACGTCTCAGCTTCTGAAGGTACTTGGTTCTTTTTTCTTCCCATATTTCTGGAAGCTTTTATGTGCCTATATCCATTAAGGTTATAAGTTTGCAACATTTGTGCAGTGGATGAGACAGTGAAGGAGATGTTGCCTCATAGAATTTTTGCTACGGATAGGTATCCAAGGAAGGGGAGGGTTAACTCCTACTCGAAGCCGCAATATTTGGTTGACATCTTAACCATCTTGGATGGAACGCCGGAGTTGGAGATCCTGATGAATTCTCCATTGAGATCGTTATTCTCGCTGCCAGTGCGTCGGTGTAGTTTGTCTGGCAAACTTGTGCATAACATGCTGTGTAGGCAAATTGTGACGAATAATGCAGAGGAAATTTGGTTTACGTTTGGTGGACACCCTTTGAGATTTTCTTTGGAGGAGTTTGAAAAAGTAACTGGCTTGCCATGTGGACCGTACCCGGACCAGTTAACCATTGATTCTAGCCAGCGTCAGGCAGAGGGTGCTGCACCTTTTTTGAATACTCTGCTTGGAGCTGAGGTGGATGTTACAATAGAGGGTATTGTTAACATCTTGAAGGCAGAACCTGGTATGGATGGTTGGAAAAAACTTCGGCTTGTCTTAATTGTCATTGTGGAAGGAATTTTGATATGTGGAACTCAACCAATACGGCCTGGTTTGGCGTACGTTGAGATGGTAAAAAATCTTGACTTTTTCTTGAGTTTTCCATGGGGTCGCCTTGCATTTGAGAGGACGGTTCGGATGCTACAGGTTGGGGACAAAATTTGTACGCAGTCAACTATTGTGAAGAAACTGAAACAGAAATCATTGGTTGTTCATGGCTTCCCAATAGCTATTTAGTTAATGATTTTTGACAGCATTCCGCTACTACTGCGATATCTTCCATCATATGATGATGCCCAAACTTTTTCAGATAGATTGGTGTCTACTTTACCACCGCTTAAGACCTACCATACAGAAAACATTTTAGCCGTGGAAAATGATGATCAGGTTAGCGCCTTCTAATTTTCTGTACATATATTTCCCTTCTGTCTCATTAATACCGTCATTACCTCTTATGTTCCAGCTTGAAGTATTCCAAAATATAAATCTGACTGCGGTGGACATGTGTGGCTCCATATCTGATGGCTCGTTTAGTGATCCAAATGTTAAGTATATGTTGAAGCTTATTCATGGAGGTTATTCCTTTAGTAAAGCTGACTGGGTAGGTGGTGATGATTCGCTGGATAAGTTGTGCATTTGCAAGAAAAAGTCTGACATGCCCTGTAATTGTGGGAGTTCGTTTGCGTATGATGACAAGGGCAAGTCAGCTGCGGGAACATGTACTAGCGGTGGTGTCGATAATGGAAGTGAAATTGCAAAATTGTGGGTAGAGGTTGCATGGATGAAGAAACTCCAGTGTTCATCAATTGGAATGTTGAGGGCGTCTATTGTATCAGATATATATTCACTTGTGGGGCTGACAAAGTGTTTGAACTGCAGAAGTTCACCTCGTATTTGTCATGCCGAATATCCTCTATCTGTGCGTACTGGCAGTGAAGCGTGTGGGGCACAAGCTGCTGAACTTCTTTATAGTTGTCACCAAAATGATTCTGTTGTTGACGAAGTGCTTCCGCAACCTCCTGATGCGCATAAGTTCTATCTGTCTCCTGATAATGTGAGGATCTTTCTTATTGTGTAACAATATCTTCTCATTCTTTCAAATTCAGCTCCTTCCATATCCATGTTGTTATGTAGATGCTTTGCTCTTTCTTTTGGTTTATTATGTTAACCTAGACAGTGTGGTGGCTTTTGCTTAGGTTCAAATTTGCACTGGAAATGTTCATGCAGATCTTTTACCAGGACAGGTGGTAAGTGAACTTCTAGTTTTACTATATACTATTGTTCAGTCCATTGTCATCGTCATTGGTTATACGTCTATGGCAAGATAGTTATATGCGCTATATTTGTTTTGCTGGACTTGTAACCTTGTTACCCTTACAGAATGTTGTCTTTTTTCAGTGTGACCTTAACTACGCTCACTGTTTCCATGGTTTGTTTTATTGTCTAGCCTAATGATCTTCTTCTTACTGAGAGTAGTCGATCTCAAACAGTATCTCCATGTAATGTACTCGTTCCTGCTCCAGCGTTGCATTGCTGTGATCGTGTATCTCAAAAGGTTAGGTTGAATTGCGTGTTTCTAATGACCTATTTCATGTACTTCTGTTTCATTCTATCCTTATTTCCGTTTTTAATTATCACATTTCATGCATCTCTTTTATGCTTGTTGTTTGTCCTGTTTTTACTACTTTACAGTTTCAGTAAAAAAGTGTTGTTGGTTTTTTTCTTACCAATCAGTTGCCCCTTCTATTTTCACACTCCCTTACTATTAAATCTGTTTTTCTTCAACTGTCCCCTGTACAGCTCGATCAATGCCGTTCCCACCTAAATCCTATAGATTGTACTCTTCCAATGCAGCTTCTCAGTGACAGGTGTAGGGTGCCACCTCGTAAGATATGCAGCGGCAGTCTTACATTGGGAAAAAAACATCTACTCAGTATACCCCTACGATGCGGTTACATCCCATTCCGTCCTCCTCAAACTGATCTGATTAGTAGGTTCAAAGAACAGCTCCATAAATACCGGAAATCGTATGTATCACACTTGTATTGTTTATTTTATTGTTATCTTACGTTTCCCTATGCTCATATATCTACCTATGAACACTTGGTATAGGTCATATGATATAGAAGGATGTGATGTTGGGAAAACCTTTTTCGCAGAGATATACACACCGGAATGCTGGTTATTTCGAACTGTCAGTGCTTTCATAACCTCACTCATCTTTTCATACTGTGTGCAACTGAGACCCCTTGTGCATCTGTTTAAAAATTTAAATATTTTGAAACAATTTAAACATTCTTTTTTACCTTGCATTAGTAGCTTTGATGCTTAAAATTTTATCTCCATCCAACTTTCCCTTGTTATGAACATGTCTTTCCTCTTTTTTGTGTCTCTCAGCATATCGACTTCATGGTTCGCGCGTTCTGGAATAAATGTGGCTCTCACCTTGCGTCCTGTAATATTGTTGTTCTCGACAGCCTCCTTACGCAGCTACTATCGGCACAATATTGTTCTTTTGTCCAGGCATGCAGCCCATCTACTTTTGTTTGGCATCCTCTCCTCGCTAGCTGTGTTGAGGGAACATTAGGGGATCGTTCGGAAAAGACAGGGTGGTTGAAAGATGTTCACACAGTTTACACACCTATGAATTGGGGTAACCGGCACTGGGTTTGTTTGGTAATCTCGCTTGACACATGGCATATAGACATACTTGACCCGTTGTTGACAGAGACATCTGACGTCAAGGTTAGCTCTTTCATGGCTCCGTTGGTAAGGATGCTGCCTCATCTTATTATGTCCGCCTGCGAGCCAGATGATATTGAACATGTGGACTCTACATTTTTTAGCTACTCGCGTTTGGATGGTTTAGCGCAGAATACGCGAGGTGGGGATTGTGGAGCTTATGTCATTAAATTCATAGAGATGCACTGCCACGGATATGAAGCCAATCATCTTTCCCATTTCAGCAACTTGATGGTTGATAATTTCCGGATGGAATTTGCTCTGGATGTTTACAAAGACTTTATCGGAAAATTACGGGTGCAATGAGTTCCTGAATTTTTAGTTTCTATCTGTCGCTGCTTCTATAGCTGTGTATGTCCACACTTTATTATCTATCTCCCCTCACTGTTTCTATTTCTAGTTATTGATGTTTGTATCCCCTGAATTTCCTTCACTGCTGTTAACAATGTCTATTTATTTGAACCAATTTGAACTTTTTCTTAAATTTTCTACGTTTGCCACCTTATACCATTACTTTTTGAACCCTTTTTCTTTTTCCTACAAACTTAGACTGCATTGCAGTTATTGCAAATTGCCTCTTACCTTCCCTACTCCCCATCTACTTGTTCCACTGTCCTAATTACTTCTGTAAACTTCTTCTGTCTCCTCTAACCCTCTAATCACATAATTGTTGGGTGTTAAATGTTGCCTGACTCCCCACTATCAACCACTACGACATAAATGTAGTTTTCTCCAACTCCAACTGCCACAAATGCATATATATGGTATACATCAGTATCAAATTTCATATTTCTTTCCTGTCTTCATTAATTATTAAAAAAAAATGGATAATCTTCTTGATGACCTAGCCATAGAAATTTTCCGGCGAGTCTCAGCCTCTGGGTTCACTAATCTTGCTCCAATGTTAACTGTTTCTAAAAAACAAAGTCAGCTTGCTTTCTCTCCTGGTGTCCTTCGTCTCCTACCACTGGATGAGTTCTTCAACAACGCTGAACTTATCAATGAAGGTTCATCATTCCGTTGTTTTTTCAAGAAATGTGTTGCAGCTAAGAATCCTGTTGCCATCTACCTTGAAAGCCTCCGTATTGCAGCCCAAACCGGGGACATTTCTGTCGCTATCGATATGCTTTTCTCAGTGGATGTTGTCTCAGATTACAACATCTTTGCGAGGGGTATTTTTCTCATCACAGCGGACTTTACCGAACCGGGAATTGCGACAATTTCTTATTTGTTTTCTCGGGTAGGAAGTGTTGCTCAAATGGACGTAATTGGCAATGTTGTCTACCGCCACCTTCTAATCTTTAGGCCAGTAACTAGAAGACTATTTGCAAATTTGAGGGTTGTTGACAGCATTCCTAGATGCCTTGGAGGGCACTGCACGGTTCAGAGTCGCTGTTTGAATTGCTTTCTTTTTTGGTTTGTAGTCAAATTCAACAATGTTCTACGTAGATGATCTTTGACATATGAGGACACCGTTGGTGCATTAATTTCGTTTTCTATGCTCAAGTTTTCTGTAGCATCAACCATTGTAAAATATTATTTTATGCCCTATCTGCTTATATATTACTCGGCACTATGTTTCATTTGCAATTTTATCAGGCTCATAATGATGTCTCGGTTGTTTTTTCCTGTAGCTTTAAAGTTCCAAAATTTTGGCTTTTTTCTCAACCTAAGCTTTACAGTTTTCATTTTTCGTCCCTATTATACTTGGTTTGCAATTTATCCACGCCATACTCATATTTTTCATGATTTCTCCCTCTTCCGCTTGGGTTTAGTATTCACCTTCTATGGTTTAGTCCTCCACTTCTTCCCTCTGCCTTCTCTACTTTGGACACTCACTGACAGGTTTTTTTTACCTGCTGCGTTTGGGTTAAATATTCCTCTTATAGGGTTTAGTGTCTCCACTTCTTACCTCTGTGTTCTCCACCCCGGACTTTGATTTTCCCCCGCCTTTCTCTGTTCCGTTTGGGTTTAGTATTCCCCTCATAGGGTATAGTGTTTGGACTTTTTCCCTCTCTGTCTTCTCTACTTTAGGACATTCATTGCCAGGTTTTTTTTACCTCATACATTTGGGTTTAGTATTCCTCTCATAGGGTTTAGTGTTTCAACTTCATAACTCTGTGTTCTCTACCCCGGACTTTGATTTTCCCCCTCGTTCCTCTGTTCCGTTTGGGTTTAGTATTCCCCTCATAGGGTATAGTGTTTGGAATTTTTCCCTCTCTACTCTCAAGTCCGGACTGTGATTTGTCCAGCTTTTCACCTCATCTCTGTATGTTAACTAACCACTTTCAGTAGATTAGTCTCTGCTGCTTTACCTCTGTTTTCTCTTTCTAAACTAAATGTGAACATGTAAAAGTCTGTTTTGTTTATCATTTGTTTTCATAGCTTAGGGGTTATTACTCTAAGTAGTACATTTGATATTTATGTTGAACAAACCATGAATACGCGTCTCATAGTGGGTTACATTATTCAATTCCACCTTAAGTTAGTGCAAACATAGGGAATATATATTTTACAAAAATAAGAAGTGCAGAAATTTAAAACATATTTTGTAAGACAGAACAACTTCAACACAGCTGCCTCACTCTCCGTGAGTACCAATAGGCAATGCAATCAAAGCAGACGTCGTCCATAGTGCAAGCAAAATGGACACAGTTAGGGACATCTCCGTGGGGGAAGGTAAATGTTGCATCGTAGTTTCCAGACATTGGTGGTTCAATATCGGCGATTTGTGCCATCACCCTTTCGCCTATGTCCACCATTTCTTCTAACCATCCGGCTCTCTCGGCCAGCAACGTTAGTGCCTCCATTCCCTCTTCGTAGTGGCCGCCACATATTGCGAATACACCAAACGCGAAACCTGCATAAGGAATGTACTCTTCTCCGGCGCGCATGAGCTGCAAGTTCTCATTAGACGGACCAAGTTTCACTGCTCTCCTGAGTCCCTCCACGTAACGCGCGGTGATGTTCCCCGCCTCAAAACATTTCATCAGAAATGGCCGGTAGATGGATCCTTCATTGGCTAGAGAACTTACAAAAATGAACTCATCCAAATCAACTTCAATTAATACCTCTGGTTAAAAGACTGCATTCTTCCCATCTGGACCACTTGCAATGAAGGGTGCAAGTTCTCGGAATCCATGATTCCCAACTCTCCTAACAATGTCTATCAGTATGCCTTGGGGAAGATAAACCATTTTGTTTGTTTCTGTGTTTGCAGCTCTACTTGGCGTCAGTCTTCTTATAGGCGGGTGGAAACGGAAGTTAGTCCAACTTGGCTAGCCACATTATTAAATGTGTATCTTATCAACTGAACTCAACTGTTGACATCCACTATCTCTTCTACAGGAACTACTAAGCGCAATTGGTTGTAAAGGGGGGACAGAGTTGATGGTGTCCTCAGGCCTACTTCTGTAGATTCCTGTAGGTCTCCTTCTTTGGTTTTTCTATTGAGTGTTAAGTTGGATATACTTAATGCAGCAAACACATGATCTGAGTGAAAAGATACCTCAGGTTATGTTTCCCAAGTGTACTACTCGAGAATGGTAGCATTTATAGCAACTCCTATAACATATCCACATCCACCTTCTTCAACCACTTTCATTAAATTTAGTTTCTGGCTATAAAATCACATTCTCTTTGTTAGCGTTCTATCCACTCAGTCATAACATTAAAATCTGCGTTACACTATGGTTCCCATTCCACATGAGTTGCAAGTTGAGATTTTTCGCCGTGTTGGTCGTTCTGGATTTAGATTACTCGGCCCTGCAATAGCTGCTTCTAATCAAACTAAGGATGCTGTGTTTTCTCCGGAAGTTTTGAAAGCCGCTGACCTGTCGGAGTTCATCATGGACCCTGCAATGGCAAAGACAGACTCTGTTTATCGTTCTTTTTTCACTGCTTGTGTGGAGAACGGAAATGTTATTGGAACTCATGTTGAGGGATTGAGGATTCTTTGCCAAGAAGGCCCATCTGAGTCTGCTTTTGAGATGCTGCAGTTCACACTTCCTAACTCCATCTTCGCCACTTTTGTTTCAGGAGTTTTCTGCATCTGTGCTGGAGAATTTGAAAGAGGAATGGGAATACTAGATCATATTTGGGAGATTGTTGACTCATGGCAAGACGCTGTGTCAATTGCAGACATGGTGGTTCAGCAAATTGTGCGGCTTGGTCCTGCAGGCATTGGAATGTACACCAACACCTATAACTACCCAATCGAAGAAGTGCCACATTGCAGTTATATCCACTGCGCTGCTGATAATGTATGCCAAAACTGTTTTGGGTTCTGGTACTCGCTGATTATCAAGTCTATCTGCTGATTTCAATTCCTCTCTCCCACAGTTCCTCAAACAAACTGCAGTATCCACTTTATCCACCGACTGTTACATATATCTCGTTCCCTCTTGCTCAACTACATATGTACGTTATGTCTGTCTAATTTTACGTGGTAACATATTAGCATAGCACCAACTTATGGTGCTTTTTCGGTTTTAAACTAGTATCATGTGATGTATCCTTTATTATGTTGAATGTGTATCTTATGTTTTCCTACCCCCAGCTTATGCTTTGTACATGTGTGGTGTACTTGATGTGGATATTCCATCTTTCTATATGTTTGTTACATTTTCCCAAGCTTTTTATACCTATAATCTCTTACAGCGTTGGTTACTTGGTTGTTAGACAAACATAATCCTTCTCTTAGATTTATTTTACATGGAAGGATTGTTTTACATTACATATTTGAGTTCTTCTGTTTCCAGAAGCAAACTTAGCAGAACGACTTCATACACTACTCCATATCTAACATTTCTCCCCTGCACTACCTTTTTGTTGCAGGATACCTCAAAAACAATCCCCAAAGTTATTATTAGCTTCTCTTTTCCCATATGTTACATTCAAAAAGTAATGAGAAGCCTACTTCCGAAAGCCACATCTTCATCATTCCATAGATGGTGCTGCTTATGTACACAAACTGACGCAGCTACATTTCTTTCCATCCGTCAGCTCGCCGAGTACCAAAATCCACATCGTAGTCTTTTCTACACCTTCTGCTTCCTATGTACATGAAAAACCACTTCTACCATACTCTCCTTCCCCCTGCTGCCCCTAGTACATTAAAAAATTGACAGAATACATTAGCTAAATCTTTCAGACTAAAGAACTTCAACATGTTAATGCCTTTATTCTTATTATTACCTCTATGGTATTGGGTTGCGGTAGGTTGCCTTGTTATGTCCCGTTCCAAAACACCTTGAACATCGTCCAGGTGCCCTATTCCTCCTACAGCTTCTCTGGTAAAAGAGAAAAGATGAAAATATATACTACAGCCTTCTGACAATAAACTAGACAGTATTAAGAAAAGGATTTGTGCAGTGGATATGGCCTTACCGAGTTCTCGCCTGCTGAAGGAAACCTCCTCTTCCTAGGGCGTCCTGGGCCTGCATTTGCCTGTGGTGGTAGCCTTTCATTGTTAACCAACTCCTC